GGTTTTGGGGGGCTTCTCCTTGGCAAGAGGGGCGTTCGTCCTGGCAGTGAGACCTAGCTCGCTGTGAGGTTGGGTGCCAAGGTGGAAGCTGCGGCGGCTGAAGCTGAGGTTGAGGCAGCTGGAGGAACTGCTGCTGGTAGTGGTACTGGGAGACGTGGTGCAGCGCTTGCTGCTGATAGAGATGGTGTTGTTGGAGCTGCTGCATTTGGGCTTGCATGGCCCGCATGCATTGCACCAGGTCGTCGAGCTGGCTCTGGACGGTTGCCAGAGGAACGACAGTTGGTTCAGCAAAGGTCGTTTCCACGGAGGAAGGAAGGGGAATACCCACAAGCGTCGTTGCTCGCGGCACGTTCAAGCTGGGGACTCCGTCCACCGAGAGAGGAATGGTGAACCGTCCTATGCGTACCGTGGGAACCTGGGGTTGTTCCCTGGGGTTATCCATTTCCATGCTTCGTCCAACGTTGCTTAAGGAAGCCATGAGTGTTGAGTTTTTTTTTTTTTTTAAAGGAAGAAAAGAACTGTGAAAGTTTAGAGAAAGGCCTTTTGAAGTGTTTCCCACAGACGGCGCCAAATGATGGTGTGCAATCCGGTCACCCCTAGCTGGCACTCGCGTGGCTTCCCAAGAGGTACCTGAAATGAGGAAGAAGAAGAATCCCCGGGGGGTTTGCTCGACGGGAACGCCCCGACGATTAAGTCAGTATTCTGTGTAAGAAGCAAAGAGAGGATAAAGGCTAAGAGTGAGATGGCGCAAGAGATTTTCCGAGAGTCCTATTTTCTGAGAACAAGCTCCTTATAATAGAGTTCTGCTGCACCAGGCCCACTGGCCTCTGACAGAGCAGGTATAACCGCCACTGTTAGCCTGCCACAGCCGTTACGGACAGGGCTGAGGTGGCACACGCGGGATCGCCACTGCAGGGTACGTACCTGTCAGGTACAAGACACCTTCTAGAGGTGGCAGGCACAACACTATCTGACAAGGGACATGGCGGCTATCCTAGATCTGTCGGGTACGGTGGTCGAGCAGGAAGCCTTCCTGTGGTAGGCCGAACTACCCTTCCAAGAATTACATTCCGCTGGGCTGTCTCTTGGGTGACGAGCTGCCTGTAGCAAGTTATGCCGAGCTGGCTGGCCCAAGGTGTCTATGTCTAGGGGTGTCCAGAGATGGATCGGTGCGTTCCTATCTAGGAGTGGCCCGAGGTCCATTGGGAGGAGATTGGGCCTCAAGAGAGGTCAGGGTACCCCGAACTCGGGGCGCCCCGAAGTGCCTTAACCCCCGGGGGGAGGCTTAAGTAAGGCGGCTTCCGGCGAGTAGCTTATCCGCCCAGTTGCCGAACTAAACTCGGTGGGACCTTCCCTCCGAGTTGTGGTTGCTACCGTTGCGCTGTCACGCTGAGTCACTGTTTGAGCAAGGTCACGCCCATGTGTACCCGTGCTGCAAGGTCGGGCCAAATCACCCTCCATCACTTTTTACCCAATGTGCCACCCTCAATGCTATTGTTTCAACTAAAGCTTCATTGCATTTTTTTTTACTTTCAAATATTCTATCATTTCTTTCCTCCCAAACGGTCCAAAGTATTGTTGCTCTAGTACACTTCCAAAGAATCCTATCCCCTCCTTGTCTTGCCACTGATACCATTAGGGTTGAATAAACCTTCCACCCTGTCAAGAGAGGACCATCTGCACCCAAAAAGGGAAGTAAAGCAATTCCAAATAAAACTAACAAAAGGGCAAGAATTAGAAGGTGGAAAGCAATCTCACCGCTCAACTTACACAGGACACACCAGTTAGGGGACAAGCACCAATTTGGTCATTTCCTTTGAGGTACATCAAAGGTATTAATACAACCATGAAAAACTTCCCAACAAAAAGCACTTATTTTGGAGGGAGTAGGAGGGCACCAAATTTCTTTGACTGGGAAAGGAAGAGAAGATTGTGTGGCAACCAATGAATGTAGAAAGGATTTACAAGAAAACGACCCATCAGAATTAGGACCCAAAATCCTAGAATCTGACCCACCTTCCCCCAAAAATATTGAATTCAGCAATCCTAACAGCTCGGACACTGCAAGAAGTTCAGACTCTCTAAGGTTCCTGTTAAATCCAAAGTTCCAATTCAACCCTGGAAGGTGAGATGGTTGACTTAGGAAATCTGAAATAGGCTTACCCTTGAACCTGGACAGATCACAAAGAGAAGGAAATTTCTCACCCAAAGGAGTATCCCCAATCCACACATCCTCCCAAAATCTGATTTTACTACCAGAAGGCCATCCATGATGTTCTTCTTGTCTCCTTTCTGCCGTGTTAAGGTGCTGCCTTAGCACCTTATTGGTGGTTGAATTCAGTTTTTATTTTTCTCTAATAATTTATTATCCTTTTATCATCAAAAAACCAATAGGATAACAAAGGAGAAATCAAGAAGTGGAGGAGATGATTCAACAATAGAGTGGTAAGAATGAAGAGCCAACCTAAAATACAACGTAAACATCCATTATTCAATGGACTAGCAACCAACAAAAGACTGATAAACTTGTACTATATTAAAAGTCCTAATGGGTTTCCCTAGGAGTCAGCCACCCAAACCATAAAATTGTAGGAAAGATTTAACTCCATTCTTTCATTACTCATTAAAAGAGTTTTTACAATGATATGTAGATGTATGTCAAACCTCTTTGAGATCTACAAGATAATCTTTCTAACGAGTGTAACTAAACAAGGAAATACTTGCTAACAAAGAAAAGAATTTCAAATTTAAATAAATCTAAAAGGTTTTCTCAATTTCTATCAAATCCTTGAACAAATTGATGGCAAATCAAATCTTTAATTGATTTAACTGAGATCACTATCATATCCTACTTGAGCTGGCCAAAACTGCAAAAATGGGCCCCGAGTTCATGGGATGTCCAGGATGTGGGCTGCAAGTATGGGCTGTGAGACCCAAGGCCTAGGACCATGCCTTCTTTTCAGTTCATTTCTTCTTTGTATCAGGGTGATTCCCCAATTAAACAATATGAAAAGTGTAAGGAGAGTAGAATTAAAAGGGATTAGGCAGCAGGGACGAGCCTAAATGGAAAATGGCGCAATGGAACATACCAATTTGTACTTCACTCTTTTTATTTAGTTAATAAAACCTTAAACAGTTATTGCTCAAAAAAACGATTCTAAAACAAATAAAATTAGAAAGGAATCTGTAATTTTATTTGATTAATAAAGTTTTAAACAGTTATTCATCAAAAAACTGCCTCTAAAACAAATAGAATTAGTAAGGAATCTGTACTCAAAAAGTCTGAACTAGCTAAAGTGAAAAATATTAACCTTGATTTGCCCTTGAATGGCGCTGCTCTAGGGGAAGACGATGCATGGCATGTTTAACCACAACTTTCCTACCACCAATAGATGCACCATTTTTGAGCTCGATAGCACGGTTAGCATCTTCCATGACAGCACTGCAAGAAGAAGAAATCAGTAATAGTGTCAGTAACAGATTTTGATGCAGTCCACATGAAGAGTATAAACCACAGAAAGCATCAGCAGAAGATATGGAATAGACATCCTGTTTCTTTATGGGTGATACTAGTATTGATAAGAATCACACAAACAGCATTTCCAAAAAATAATTGGTAAGCATTACAGACCCAATAAGAAGCATAAAAAAGGATTTACAGAGGAATCAAACAGGAGCAATCCAATCACTCCTGCAGCTTTCAGAATTGACCTCTTAAACAACTTAATAATAGAAGTCCAGGAAAAAGCTAGCATCGTCTCTTATCTTTAACAGTTTGACTAGCCTCAGATAGCAAAATCTAAAGATAACCACCACAATAGCATCTTTGACTGGGCCTTATATACAGATTTTTTTAGAGAATCATAAAACAAAGATCAACTGCTACTGCTAGTTATTAGATCTGTTATGGGGGGACAGTGAGAGATTTTTTGATGAGTGGGTGAGAGCATAATGCCACATGCATATGTTAGAGTTAAGCATCCAAATTATGGAACAAAGGCAGAAGCAAAACCCTGAAGAGCACATGTGATTTACAGGTATTTCAGGCCTGGATGTAAGGAACCTTGGCCTTTCCAATAGCAAAGAAACTGCAATTGGACAGAATAAAATAGTAAACATCTCATTTAGAGGGATCTGGTTATCAGCAAGCCCTTCAGCAAAAACCAGACATTATACCTAGAAGTGGCACATGGAAAGACTTAGGCCCCGTTTGGCGCGTCTTTCCGCACGGTATGTCAGCTATTTACAAGCTTGGCAGACCGCAATTCGGTCTATTCCCGTTGGTTCGCGGTAGATCTAGCCGCCAAAAGCCGATGCACCAAAAAGACGCGAGAAGCCCAAAACAGGCAATTTTTGGGAAGCTCCAAATAGATCTTTTGCGTTTTTTTCTATTTGTCTCCGTGCGGAAAGACACACCTTGACCAAACAGGCTTCAAGCTGCCCAAATCGCAAAAGCTCAATGCGTCTTTTGACTGTCAGAGCTACCAGAAGATCTTCCCAAAAAGACTTGCCAAATGGCCCCTTAAACTGAAAAGAATCTCTCCCAATGGTATTTGTTGTTTGGCCTTCCTTTTCTAGAGAGGGTTTTGATTCACATTTTCTCATTGGGTGAACTAGAAAATGGTAATTCTAAGTTCAGATTTTATTGTTTCTTAATAAAGCAAGTTGATCATGTTAATGATAAAAATGGGTGGTTTTGTTCCTTTGAATTTATATTGTCTTCTCTTTTGTATTCTCTACCCTTTAGTCTTTTAGACATTCTATCAAAAAGGATAGATCTATTTTATATGGATATGTCATTCAGATGGATATGATACCAGCAAACTTGCTAATCAATAGATTTCTATTCAGAGTGAGTATATTCAGTCATGGATTCTTATTCTCGGAAGAATTTGACGGTTGTTGCTACTTATTCTTTGTTTCCTGATAAAGTTAATAAACTTTGTAAAGAAAAATACTAGCCAATCTCACTTCCTATACTTACAATTGGACAAATCCAAATCCACGGTGTGCATTCGATCCTGTGAACAAGCCATGAGAAAAGATTAGAAAAACAATATATGAATGCCACAAAAAAAAACAAATAAAGATAGGAGTAAATAGCAAACGCACTACAACAACAAGCAACAAGTTAGTCCATCCAATAACTACATGTCAATAGATTACTTGTTAAGATGCTCAAGTTATAGTACACAAGAGTCAACCCAAAACTCCGACATTATAAGAGGTAATAGCAAACTCTAGAACTGGTCACTATAGTATGTTAAATGTAGGTATTTCTTTTCTTTTTTTTTTCTATGAATTGTTGAACTAAGCATGTTTTGATGCAAAGTAGTACCAACTGTGAAGCCTCCAACTTATGAACACAATGTAAAAGGCCATTACCCAATGTTGGTCCCAACTATCTGCCATCTTGGGAGGGATGGACTGGATAAGGACCTAACCTTTAGCTCTCTTTTCTTTTTCGTTTTTTTTTTTGATAAATAATACTCTTTTCTTTTTTTAAAGGGGAAAATAATGGCCACTCTCGGAATGAATCCCAACTCTCACATTTCTCAGCCTGAGATTTTTTTTTTTTTTTTGATGAATGAATATAATTTATTAAAACAGAAATATGACAGCCTGAGATTTTACCATTACACCGAACAGTTACAGTAATGGTGTGCATTTAATTTACACACCAAAAGTTACAGTCATAGCGGTATGATCTTAACAAAATCAATTGAATGCAAAAGTGCTCCCTAGATTCTACCACACTAGTTCCACTTAAGATAAGCATAAGTAGCTAATTCCCATATACTCCCGTGAAACAACTAATGCAATATAAATAGCAACCAATAAATCATCAAAGGAGAAACCATGTATTTCAGTACCCAGACCGGCAGAGTTTTCCCTGGATACAAAAGAAAATAATACCATACATCTCATACCAAGTAAACTACAATGTTCAATCACTGGAAATAGACCAGAAGAATTAAAAGTTTATCAGCGATAGAAACACATTTACTTACCCTTTTCTGTCACCATGAAGCAGCGTCTTATTGGACCAACCTCGCTAAATGTTTCTTCCAACTGAAGTATGAATAAAAACAGAAAAGAAGATTTCGCAACCATTCCAAAGCAGAACAAAAGAATGATTGAGCTCTCAGAAACCCAAAACAGAGACTAATTTAAAACACGATACGCTTACCTGCGAGTTAGTGAACGAATAGGGCAGGTTGCTGACGAATATCGTTGATGGGGAATGACCGCTATCCTCTTTCGGCTTGAGCCCTTCACCACTCTCCTGCATCCTTTTCTTCTTCCCCATATCACCTGATTGACTGTAACGGAGAAAATCAAACCAATACCGATAATACAAGTATTAATTAGCGGGAGAAGGATCGTAGTTCAGGTGTTCTCGTCTTCTTATTCTCTTTACAGTTGCAGTGTCGCGCCAGCAGCGCCAAAACCCTCGCCTCTCTTTAAAAACCCTGCATTTTTTCTTATGCTTTTTGAGGGTTTGTTTGGATGATCAAATTTCTTCAACAAAGCCCTACCCGTACTTCGCGACTATTTTTTAAGGGGTCTATATTGATTCAATCAAACCAACTTATATCTTGCGACACATCAATGAAAAAAGGGGTAAAAACAAACAATACCGTACTTGTCAAAAAACGAAACAAACAAACCCTTAAATGCCTTAGCCACAAGACCCACAACAATAAATCAAAGGCCTTGATTTTCTGCTTTAGCCCTGCGCTACGACATTAACTCGCTACAAAATTGCCACATGTCCAGACGATTGTCCCCCAAAGCTCGATCCGGTATGGTCCGAACCCGACTACCAACTATTTTTTTCCCTTTTGATTGGATAATTCAATTATTTGTTCATCTGTCTCTATCAAAAAAAAAAAAAAAAGCCTACAAGCCTGGATTGCCTTAACTCGGTTTAGGTCATTTCACCCATTAAGTAGGTGTTTGGCATCGGTGCTACAAACATTTCATAAAAACGATGTTGGGTATGTGGAATTGTAAGTATTTGGAACCGGTGCTGCTATATAGATTGTTTTTTGAGAAAACAGCAATGGTTTTGTTTGATACCAGTGATGTATAACTGTTTTTAGTATTGATCTATATTATTCAACGTCCAAGATAATGTCATATCATTGCACTAATGGCAACAACGTATCGTTTTCTCAAAAAACATTGAATTTGGCATTACTCTAGACCACACTTTCCTAATTTCCAAAGGTATGGTTTGGAGCAACTTTTTTTTTATAATGGTACTAAACAATAGGGCGTTTTCTGAAGCACTGTTTTCTCTAATGTAGCGCCTATGTAGCACCGTTTTCTCTGAAAATGACATCAATGCCAAATATCACCTATAAAGGTTAAAAAAAAGGCTTAAGCCAAAAGTTTTTCCTAAATACTAAAACCTTCCCTCGCTTTTTAGTTGGTTCCCTTAGGTATACACGTGGATTTGATTAATGCAACCACGAATATCGAGGAGGGGTTACTAGTGTGTATCACAACACCTCCCCTTTGTTAACAAATTGTGAAGATTAGTTTGCTTATAACATCATGGGTGGATAAGATTTTTTAAAACTCAATATTGCCTCTATGCAATATCAAATTTTTTTCTCATTGCCTTTTGATGATGTGCGATCTGGCAGCTCCCTGCTGGCAAGTGACTCAGATGTCGAAATAAGTATATCGGCAAGCTGTGTAGTTCTCTAGAGAAACCTGCAGGGGAACAATATTAGAGTGCCCGAGTTGCTTTGCCTGGGGTGGGCACTCAGATACTTAAGTCAGTAAATTTGAGATTTTTGAGGTAGCTAAATGTAATAGAGATGTGAGAGCTAAATTGCCCTATATATAGGTGTTATTTGGCATGGGCTTCATGCACAGTATATGAAATCTTCGAGAGATCGTAGTTGATTAGGATGAAGTTTTCAGAGGTAGTGGCGCATGTAGACTAGGCTTTGTGCCTCCAAAATATTTAGTGCAGGAGTTGACTTTTGGAAGACCCAAGAGTGACAAGATCCACACACGGATGGGGTCGGCGAGTACGTATTGCAGGTCGCCACTTGGACCTCAATCGAGTTGACAACTCCTCAAGGGAGATCACTCCTCGCACCGAAGTCACTTGGACCAGTAACGATGAGATACCACAGATTGGCCCTGGACATGGTGTTCCTAGCCACCTTATCGAGGCGCCCAAGTTATAAATGCGGTTGCCAATTAGTGGGTGGAGGTAGGTTGCAAGGTTGGCGGCGGAGGCTGGTTGCCATGTCAGTGGTACAAGCAAGTCGCTAAGTCTGCAGAGGTAGGTTGCAAGGTTGGTAGAGGTATGTCGCTAGGTCAACGAAAATAGGTTGCCATTTCAGATTTTAGATAAGGCAAATCATTGCCTACGTGGTGTTAGAATGTCATCAAACTATTATGAGATGCCACATCACGATGTCAGTGAAGGGCCAAATCTACCTTCATCACCTTCTTCTATTAATAATATAATTTGACAGAAATTTTCATTCGCATTTTCTTAATTTGGGGTTACCTAGCGTACTTGCTATGGACTTGGACAATTTGAACTGGGGTTTTAGGAATTTCCACGGAAAATACGGTAATTGGAGTGGGATCAGCTTAAGAACCAAAGCTATATTTACTTGATACTCATTTGTTGGGATTTTGATGGTTCAAGAGCATGTGGTATTTGTTTTTTGTTTTTTTTTACATAAGAGGATTTTTTGTTATGATTTCCTGCTCGGTAGCTGTGCAGGAGTTTTCTTAAAAGAACCACAACACCCCTTCAAAGTTGTGGTAGTTTAGAACGAAGTCTTTACATTGTCGGATTGCTTTTTGTTCTTTTTGGATCGGAGTTTGAATGCTTAATCTCAAACTGACCTTGATTTTGCCATTCGTTCTTATGCTACTACTAATAGGCTTAGTGAAAGGCAAAAAGGTCTGGCTTTCCCAAGTAAGAGTAACTACACACGGTTGATGAATTTGATAATATTGGTGTTTAACTTTGAAAATTTAAAGAGTATAGAAGGGCTAAAAAGTCTTTTACTAATTTGTCACACATATCAGGGTATTATTCTGACAAGGGAGGTTTAGTCTTCTTAAAAACATAAAAGAAGGTATTGAGTACTTATGGAAGCTTCAAGGGAGGTTTAAGTCCTTTTACCCTCAAAAAGCTTAGCTTCCATTGGTTAATCCGATCTCATGCTATTCAATATCCACTTACTTGTTTTTTGGTAAATTGCTGACCCCCCTTATATTTGATAATTGCAATTACATTCACATCCTCTAAATTTTTTGACATGGTTGTAGGTAGACCCTTCTATAAGAATTCTCTAACAAAGAGGCACAAAATGTCTAAAATACTCGTGCAGTTATTTTTTACCAAAATGTTTTTTTTTTCTTCATATCAATCATTGGCCCAAACCCTTTCGATCTTTTTGTCTGAAATTGATTTATTTTTTTATTTTTTAATTTGTCCTTCATATCAATCACTCAAAGGTAAAGTTATAACTTTGAACTTTTTTTTACACTTACAAAGGTTTTTTTTTTAAATCCAGCCGCAATAGTAATTGTGTGGGTATTATGGGCATTTTCAGACCTCTTATTAGAGGTCTATTTGCAATTGTCAAAAGTTCATAGGAAGTAATTGCACTTTGAGGAGAATTTTCAACAATGATCGGAAGGAGGTTGCAGCAATTTACCCTTTTTTAATCCGTATAAACCAAAGAGGGTGGCAAGTGGCAACGGAATTTGACTCCGAATCCAAGATAACTTAATGACTTAACATCAGGTTTGTGTGACGTGGTTTTCTGTTTTTCTAGTATTCAAGGTTTGAACATAATTAAAAAAAAAAAAAGGTTTGAACATTTTGGTAGTTTACCCAAAAAAAATGGTTTGAACATATTGGTGTTTAGTAACCAGAAAATGGGGTATTGTTTTTCAGACATTAGCTCTGGTTTGTGTTAACTTTTGAATCATACCTTTGAATTGTGGTAATAGTTGGTTGGTAAGATATAACCATGCACAAAGATGTAATATTCACTCATAAACAACTAAAAAAGCTAAGTTTTTTAAGCATTACATTACCCCCCGCCCCCCCAAAAAAAAAACTACAAAGAAAAAGTTTAATGTCTTCATATATAAAAATCTATAAAAAATAACTTCTCCGAGAGCATTTACTTATTTTAAGTGGTGAGACCATACAATGTGTGGAAAATAAGCACTTATTCGTGTTTGGCAAAAAAAACCATGCTTATTATGAAAATAAACACTTAAAAATATGCCAAATTGTGTGACTTTTTAATGCTTATTCAATAAATTTTTTATTTCTTTTTTAGGGACAAGGTTGTCTTCAATGTTTTGTTTGTTTTATGGGGACTACCCCATCTTCAAAAGAAGATCATTGTTCACTTCCTCCTCCTATAGTAGAGGCTTGAACCAATGGTGATAAAACGCCCTTCCACAGAATAATTGCCACCACCAAGATTTTAAAAACCAACTCGGAAACGAAATCGTTCTAGGTATCAATCTCTGGGTCAACGGTTCAACTGTTTGAGTCGAACGGTTTGTATATTAGGGTTAGGGCAAATATTTTATATGAGAATTGAGAAAGGAAAATTAAAGTGGAGAAGAGATGCAGCTTAGAAAGAAAAAAAAAAAAAAGAAAGAAAGAAAGGAAGGGGGGAAGAAGAACAAAAAGGGGGAGGATGGTTCGACGTCACCGGCAATGATAATGGCGACGGCAATGGCGAAGCGACGACAACAAATACAGATTTGAATTCTCAAATCTTAGATCCGAGATTCTCTGCAACATCTTCTTCTTCTTCGTCCACATATCTCAGACATGAACTCAGATTTGAGACACAAACTCAAATTTGAGTTCGTGTGTTTCTCTCTGCATCTTTATACTATGAACCACTATTCGAGTCAAACGAGTCGACACTTCAACTGCTTAGGTAAGTGGTTTTCTGACAAAGTCAATGGTTTTTTACCCAAAAATGGGTTAGGGGTGAAATGGAAGCGGTTGATTTGACGATTTCCAGGCCGAACAGTCCGACCGTCTAGATCAACGACAGTTAAAAAACATTGGCCACCACCTCCCCTATCTCTCATTATTCTTCTTCTTCATTGTCATAACTAAGTATGTGCTTGGAACCATGAGTGTTTATTTGCTAAACGTTTGTACTTTATTTGTATGCAAATCCGAGAAAAGCAATAATGAACCCATTTATTGACACTTAGGTGGTGTTTGATAACACTTTTCATACTGCTTTTCAGATATTGTGGACATTTGGAATCCAGTCTGAATATGGGTCTGAAACTCCATTTCAGATCTAAAACTGAAAGAGGTTGGCCAGCCTCTTAACGTGGTCAGATGCATTTTAGACCGCGTTAAAAGACAAAAATAGGTCTCAACTTCAAACGTCCTCCCTTGTAGGTGCGATTCCGGGAAGAGCTAGGATCGGTCGATAGAAGCAAACTGACTAGAGCTACCGCTGCAATTCCCCGCAACCATCTGTTCGGTGATAAGAGGAAGAAGACGAACAACAAATCCGGGAATTTGGAAGAAGAAGAAGAAGAAGAAGGGGAGAGAGGGGAAATAAAGAGAGTTTGGAGGGAGAATAATCAGAGAGAGGACAGGGGGAATACCGCCACCCCTATTCGGCCTTCGCAATGAGAACGATGATTAATAGTGCCCAAAACTGATATGCCTCGGCTTTGAACATCCTCCCTCTTGTAGGTGCGATTCCGGGAAGAGCAAATTGGTGTTGCTGGGATTAGTCGATAGAAGTAAATTGATTGGAACTACCGCCGCTCTTTGTTTGGTGATAAGAGGAAGAAGACAAACAACAGATATGGGCAATTGGAAGAAGAAGAAGAAGAAGAAGAAGAAGAAGAAGAAGAAGGAGAGAGAGAGAGAGAGTTTAGAGGGAAAATAACCAAAGAGAGGAGGGGGAATAGGAATACGACAACCCCTGTTCGTCCATTGCAACAAGAACGATGATGAACAGTGCCCAAAAGGCCAAAACTGATTAATTATTTTTTATTATTCATTCGTTATCTTTATTAACTTTAATTGTGTTATTTTATAATTATTAACCATTAATTAGTAATTAATTTAAATTTTATTTGTGTAAATTACTAACTATTAATTATTTTTATTACTTAATAATTATTTTGTAGTCATTAATTATTTTTATAGTCATTATTTTTTTTAATTTTAATTGTGTTATTTTTTAATTATTAATTATTAATTATTTTTGATTACGTATTGATTACCTTAATATATTTTATTAGTCATCAATTATTTTTAATAATTTTAAACGTGTTTTTTATTATTTGTATTCTTTTGAATTTCATAAATTGTTTAATATGAAATAGTACAAATTGAACTCAAAATTACCAGATAGTCTGTTTTGGGGGTAAAATAGTAAAATCATCAAATTTCAGATTCTGAATGGTTAATCCAACACAAACAACCTTATCTATTCAGGGCATCTAAAAAGTATAAAATCACCATAGCTCTGTTCAGATTTCAGACACTTTTAATATCTTTTTAACTTTTCAGATTTCATATTTATTAAACACCACCTTAGGTGCCATTAGACACCACATCAGCAAAACAGTGAATAACCCCAACAATACGTGTGCATATAAATCAAGGCCTGCTTTTGCGATTCTCTATGTTTATGGATTTGCATAATGGGGAAATGCTGAAGTGGCGCATATGTGACAACATTTATTCAATAGACGTCCACAGTTCCAAACACCGCCTAAATATTTCTTGAACCACCACCACCACCATCGCCTCTCTCTCTCTCTCACTTATTTGTTTTTCTCATTCTTTTCCTATTCTTATTCCTCTTTATTTCTTTCACTTCCTGCTTTCCCTCCTCTCTTCCCCACACCGCTACTGTAGTGAACATGGAAACAAGTTCAATTATGAGATAAGTATTTATTTATTTTTTATTTGTTAATGTGCGTATCTAGTACAATGTTCTCAACGTTGTTGATATGGTTGAACTATTTGAACCATCACCCGACCATGATTTTGAGTCAAACCGTTGACCCATTCTACCTGGTGATGGGTGATGATTGTACATTAAACATGTATGTAAATTTCCAAAGGCCATAACTTTGTGCTTCGATGTTCAATCGAGGTGTTTTTTTTGGATAACTTTTCGGGATATATGCATTCCAAAGAGTCCTGAGTTTCTTGCCTTGCCTTTTTTTTTCAAACAAAACCCCTTTTTAAACTCAAATTGCAATTTTTAATAATTCTTACAAATAAATTAAAAAAACCAAGTTAAAAATATAAATTAAACATAAGATAATGCATATATTACATGTAGATTATAATTATATATTATATGACTATGTTAAGCTATAGATACAATTGTTATTTTCATAAATACAAGTAATTATGGGATAAGTGACTCACCAAACACAGCAAACAGCCAAACACGAATAAGAATTTAAAATAAGAATAAGTGGTTTGAGAAAGGTCCTCCCAAACACTAATAAGTGGTTATTCCAAGAAGTACTTATTTGCCAAAAAATACCCTTAAGTTTTATCAAATGCCACAATGTACGTGTTACACTTGAATATAGATGAATTAGATAAGAAAGCCATCGTTTTTTCATAAATAAACAAGCAATATGCAAATAATGTAGGTCTTTAAAAGTATGTGTTAGAAAACACAAGAAAATAATATAAAGTATTATTTCAAAATATTTAAAGGTATGTAAGTTATTTATTTATTTTTTACTTGATGGAGCTAAACAAAAGGAGGTAGCCCATCACACTCACCCATACCCATACCCCTGATGGGAGGGGGATCATTCGAATCAATGGTGGCTCAGTTGGTATCTTCTTTTTTTTCTTTGACTAGTTGTAGCAGAGCCTTATGATCAGTTCATTTTTTGAAGACATGAAGGCAGAACTCATTCATTAATGCCCTTGTTTCATAACCAAGTAATACAGTCAGCAAGAAAAATGAAAATAAAACATTAAAAACATATTAAACTTGCCAAATTATCATGAGCACCGGGAACAAAAGCTCATGGAGTCCGCGTTCTGTGCAGCCATGGTGTATTGAATGCGTAAACTCACCAATCACGTTCAACCACGTCGCCTTAACATGGGTTCAACAGGCCACCGAACCAGCGGCTATCAGCGGTGACAGTTTTTGATGTCTTCACACCAGCTTTTGTGGGTTCTTTTTTCAGAGAAAAAATGATGAAAGGGGATGACAATGGTTTAATTAAAGACCATAGAGTGCTTAAGGGGAAGATTGCTTGCCGAGAGGGTAACCTCAAGGGTGGCAAGAGAAGAAGCAGAGCTAATGGGGATCAAGGTTTGTTACTCTTTCAGTCATTTGGATGTTGATAACTTTATTCTGTAATGGGTGTGGCTGTAGATTCTTGTGATTGCTAGATTTTGTTCATCTCTCTATGTTTTTTAATTTCCACATCATTTTCAAACTCTTGGTCTTGGATGCGTCAGCTGATAGAACTAGAGAGGCGAATAAGAGCAGAGATCATATCTAGGAACTGAGCTGAAAGAAAACTGAAACTACTTACCAAAAAGCTTGAATCTCTGAAACATCCGCATGTTCTAGACTGGTCAAGTTCATCAGAAAAGAGTGAATATTCGCGTAGTTCATCCCACAACCTCATCTGGACGCAAGGATCCTGACCCCATAAAATGTGGCTGCATAGAAGAAGAAGAAAGGAATGCCAAATATCCATCAACTCAAGAAGGTCTCAGAAGTGATGATGTTTCAAAAGACAATGTTTCCATCGATAATACACTAGCGTTAGTTCCAGTGAGTACGTCGTCATCTCTGATTCACATATCATTAACGTCAGTGTTGGCGATGTTCTTGCTGCTCTAGAACATGCCAGAGAGCACCTTCAGAATTCAATAGGGAGTTGTTGTGTGTAGTAGTCTGGTAGAAGAGCGTAAGAGACAAAATTCCTTCTTTCTATGATCTTGCTTAATTTTGGTAGTGGTGGTGGTGGAGAGAGAGAGAGAGGCCAGGAGCCAAACCAGTTCATTCTTTCCTTGTCGAAGAAGAAGAATGGAGAGGAGAAGAAGAAGAAGAGAAGAGTACCACGGGTTTTCCTCGTTGCCGCCGGAGGTCTCTTTATCGCCGTCGATAAACCGCCGGAGCTTTGTCTCCCTCGATGGAGGAAGGGTTTAATATATGGGTAGGGTTCGATGGAAGGAGCTCTCTAGGGAAACAAAATCGAAGAAACGAAGGTTAAAAACCCTTCTGCGAATAAGGATAAATTGGATATTTTTGAAAGTTATAACAGCATTTGAATGGTTTATGACGAAATATTAATATTATTCAATTGTCAAAAACATGGATAGCAATTAGCAGGGTAGCGTTAGTTAATTTTTAGGGTACATTTGGTCAATTAGCTAAAACATTAGGGTAATTTAAGAAATTTACCCTTTTCTTTTCTTGTTTTATGCTGTTCGGTCGAATACTCAATACGACTAGCCGCAGAGTCGCAGACCTATCACCCCAATGCGACTTGGGTTCTACACTACGTGGGTAAGTGAGCGATCGAGCTAGTGAGGCGATGGGTTTGGGAGCATTGAGGAACGTTTTTCGTCCTCTGGCGAGAACGGTCCTATCTCGCAGACTGTTGCAATTTCCGGTTATTTCTGGTACCCCCGCTACTCCGGCGATCAAGCCCCGGTGGATTTTCGGATCGATTCAGCAGCACACGACATGGATTTCGAGGTCGAATGATCTCCATAGCTTAACAGACACTCGATTCCCGAAGAGAAGACCTAGTGATAAACCTCGAAGGAAAAGAGCCAGCTTAAGACCTCCAGGTTTGTATCCGAACACATACACTTAGAAAGTGGTTAGAAGCTGCCCTTTTCTTATTGGACCATGGCGTATGAATCTCTCAATTTTGTTGGTCTTTATTTATTTTAAATACTGCAGGTCCATATGCCTGGGTTCAGTACACTCCTGGTGTGCCAATACCTGTAAGCAGGCCTAATGAAGGAAGTGTCAAGGGAAGGAATCAGAAAAAACGCATGAGGCTGAGGAGAGCGTTTATATTGGTATTGCTTCTCAAACGCCTTGCAGTTTATATTCTGACGCCCAGGAACTGAGTTCAATTCATTTAATTGCCATTATCTATTATCGCTTTCATTCACACAAGCATACTCTGTCTGTACCCCTTGTTGTAAGCAAGCCCCAATTGACTTTGAGTCATTTGCTGGTGTGGAATCTGGAATGCATTCGACGACAATAATGTGTTGATATAGGATATAAAAAGGGGTTGGGGGTTATTTGTGCTTACTCATTCATCATGGATCGCATAAGAAGCACAATACTTGTGGAGTTTTTATGCTTACAAGTGCAGAAAATTCGCACTTTTAATGACTATTTTTGGATGTGAGATTCATTGGATTTTGGTCCTTCCCAAGTTCAGGGGCATGCGGAGAAATGCATTTTGGAGAGCGTTTTTTGTAATCGCATTTGGGCTTGTCGATTGTCTTGTATTAGACAGTTAAGCACTTGTATTTTGTATATTTGGAAGGATACTATTTCGTACATAATGTGTTATAGTAATGCCTTGTGGAATTTTTGCATGTCTCTTCTTTTCTGACAACAAATGTTTTGCTTCCCATTATTCATAGAAAAAGGAATTTTGTAATTAAAATTGTTAGATACACACGAAATTGTCTTATACAAATACCAATAAAAAGACTTGTGCAAACTTCACTATTTAGTTTATAGATATTTGTTTAAACCATGCTGCTTAGGAAAACTTATTAAATATTAATCTTATCACATTGCCAGCAAAGGATTGAAGACCAAGAGATAATTCAATGTGACCTCTTACAGTACTTTGGTTCAATAATTCATAACGAAGGAGAGATAGAAGAGGATGCCATCCATAGAATTAAAGCAGGATTTGTAAAATGGAGGTTTGCATCTAGGGGTGTTCACAGTTCGGTTTGGAGAAGATCTCAGATCAAACCAGTAAATTACTGTTTGAGAAATTCTCAAACCATATCAAACCATTATATTGCAGTTTGGTCTAGTTTCTAATATGATTCGGGCAATTCGACTTAGCTCAATTAGAAAGCCCAAATAACATGCATACCTACATAAATAACAAATGTAATTCAAATATCAAATTTAAATGTTAACAAGTGCCACCTATTACTATTATATAAATTACATCCACACTTTCTCAAACATAAGCAACTCATTGGGCATCAAATTACAAGTTAAAAATTGAAACAAGCAACAACAATGTTTAAACATATGCATTAATAAATATACTATTAATAATTCGGTTTAATTTGGTTTACAGTTTGGTCTGCTTTCTAAAATTTAGAAATTCAAACCAAACCAGAAAATTATGGTTTGAGAATTTCTCAGACGAAACCAAACTTTTGTAAGGCCAGATCAGGCCAAACTGCCAACTTCGGTTTGGTTTGGTGTGGTTTGGCAATCTAGACCATATAATGAACACCCCAATGTGCATCCATAGGATGGGAAAAATGGAGGTCTTATATATGAATACCACTTCGGCTGAAAGAAAAATTCTACTATAAAACAGTTGTAAGGTCAGCTATGTTGTATGGAGCAGAGTGTTGGGCAATTAAGAAACAATATGTCCAAAAAATGAGTGTGGTAGAAATGCAAATGCTTAGATGGATGGGTGGTAAAATTGGAAAGGACAGGGTTAGGAATGAAGTCATATTAAGGAACCTAGGAGTAGCTCTAATAGGTAATTAAACGAGAGAAAATAGATTGAGATAGTTTGGTCACATGTATAGAAGACTTTTTGCAGCACCTGTTAGAAAAAAAGTGATCTGTTACAAGTTGAAGAGGCTAGAAGAGCTAGAGGCAGACAAAAAAGGACTTGGGTGGAAGTACTAAGAAATGATTTAAGCACCCATAGTTTAATGGTAGATATGCACTGAACAGAATGGAATGATGGAATATGAATCATGTAGCCGACTCATATAGTCGGGACAAGCCGGTATAAGATTTTGATGGGTGCAGCTTTGGGAATCCAGGAAGGTTTCATATTGGAGGGTCTTTAGGAAGCAAAAAAGGTTTTGGTAGTCAATTCAGACTCTTTTGGTAATGGGAGCTCCATTTCTGCTGAGCTATCATCCCTAATTTAATGGCTGGGGGTTGACCATCTCTTTAGTTCTGATGTTGGAAATTGAAGGAGATCCTGATTTGTAACTGGATGGATGAAGGCTGAGGAATCAGGTCCTTTTTCATTCAATCAAAAAGAGAGAGGATGTACAAGAGGACGGGGCTTTGCAAAAAAAGCTTATTCAGAACTCTGGAAAACTGAGAGAGTTTAACGATTTGCAAGAGCAGACGTTTGGAATGCCAAAGGATAAGTGGGATGCATTTTGGAAGACCAAGCATCTCTTTCTTGTGATTGGTTATTTTCACATGGACTTAAAAGGCTCAAAAAAGGAGAAAAAAGAATACCCATCATTGTATTAGTATATAGATATAGATGCCTATAAGTCTAGAGCTGTTACTGTAATTCACTAGTTGATATTTGGGAGGGTGTTATTTTTTGGTGTATCAGGCTAGAACAGTTTCCTAGGGGCTCTTATAAGATGTCCATCAAGGATTGTCAAGCAGATTCGTGCTTCTCTGATTTATATCAAGCAGTTTTAGTTTTAATTCCAATATTCAAGAAGCACCAGACGATATGGGTATCTATTCAATCTTCACTGTGGAGGATTTCATTCCTTCATGGCATAGTTGTCAAGGCTGGCGCCTAGGCGACAAGGTGCCCTTGGAGGTTTGCCTTGCCTAATCGCCAAGCAATTTTGTATACTTTGTTATAAAATACTATTATATTCTTAATTTTTTTGAGATTGTAATTATAAAATAATCATTTTATATATTTATATACTAATTTCTTTTTATCATTTTCTTATTTGTTAGGGTTTAATCAACACAAACATTGCTAACTGCTCTATTGAACCCTCAAAGGCTTCAAAACCTGAACCAATAAGTAAGGAAGAACTTATCAACACATTTTCTTCTTCGACTTCTTCTTCTTCTTCTTCCACCTTTTCTTTTCTCCATTTCCTATAACAAAAATAGGGGTTCAGCTCCTATATTTTTTGAATTTTCTTTTCTTTTCTTTTTCTTCTCATGAATATGTTGATTTTCTAGACTTTGACATGGAGTTTATATTTTTCTTATGAAAATTATGGATAATTATTAAGCAAATATGGTTGTGGAACCTAGGGAACTACCCTAGGATATATGTTTTTACTTAAAAAAAATCCATCGCCTAGGCATTCATAGGCGCTCACCTAGGCGACTAGGTGACAAAGCACCCCCCTGTCGCTTAGCCTCACCTTGGCGCCTTGAAAACCATGCTTCATGGTTATCGGGAGAGTACTTCTGCTTTGACACCAACTTCCAAATTACTCGTCATGCCTGTTATCTTTTGTTGTTGATGAAAAACTAATTTATACTACTGATGGTGGTTGCTAGAAATTCCTATTGAAGTGGAAGGGCCATTGATAGGAATTGATCCGCACCCTTGAAGACTTATTCTAGAAAGAAGAAGGCCTTACAACAGGTCCTGATATTGGCAAAGTGATGGTACATGGGATTTGGACTGAATTGAACACCAAGGGTATTTTTCTCATTTTGCAATTTTTCTGTAGGATCCAATAATAGGGTTTGACTGTCTATTTAGTCTGTTTATGTTTAAAATTTCAGTCATTGCATAAGTAGGATTAGAGTTATTGAGTCTTTTTTGAATTAGGATATGACGACTTAGTTTGAGTTCTACTAGGATTATTGAGTCTAATAGTTTGACTCTTAGACTATTATGAGTCTAACAATTTGACTCCTAGGATTGTTATGAGTTTAGAGTCTAAAATATGTATGGATGTTTTACACAAAAGGCAATGAAGTTTATTGAGTTTTCTTCAGCTTAAGCTAATTATGGTGAGTGATTCCCATATCTTAGAGTGATTCTAGGCACCCTGTGAGTGATTCCGGGTATTTTCTCTCTTCTTTCTCTCCCCATTTTCTTTCTTGTTCTTTCAAGAAGCCATTACAGCCATCAACAGCCATAAAATTCTGATCAAAGAACCATTCAACATTCTCTAAGGACTACAATTGAGCTGGTCAGTCCTACATCAGCCATCTATTGTCAGAGCACACTTTAGTCATGGTTGTGAATTTTTATAATGGATGCGTCGTTAAAGATCAAGGATAAAAATACTGAACACCATAGTTCCAAGGATAGAGAACTCAACTCAGATTTAGTCCCAATTAAGGTTCAAAGCATCAATACTCTCAATACACAAAATTTGCATATCAAGAATTTCATTCAACCAAAACTTTTATTTTTTAAGCTTTGTTTTGATCTCTTGTAGTGGAAATGTTATGCCATATACTATCATTTAAAACAATTGAAATCGATCAAAGCTTAATATATAACTTATCAATGACCCTGAAAAATGATATGTATCATATGATATGCACTGATACATTTCAATATTTTGAACCTTGGTCCCAATTGGGGTTGGCTACAGAAGATGACTCAATCTAAACATGTAAGGGCACTACTGTTCTTTTAACTCTACATGGTATAATTCTTTCAAATAGTGGGGGGGGGTGATAAGAGCCCCAACAACCCTCACATCATGTACTATCATTTAAAGCAATTGGAATCAATCAAATCTTAATATATAGCATTGGATTGGTTCTTGAATTAATTTTGTGTTGTTTTGTTTATTGGCAGCAAGTTTAAGATTTTGGCTTTGTTTTTTATTATTACATGGTATAATTCTTTCAAATGGGGGGGGGGGGTGATAAGAGCCCCAACAACCCTCACATCATGTACTATCATTTAAAGCAATTGGAATCAACCAAATCTTAATATATAGCATTGGATTGGTTCTTGAATTAATTTTGTGTTGTTTTGTTTATTGGCAACAAGTTTAAGGTTTTGGCTTTGTTTTTTATTATTATTTTTTAAATCTCTATAAGGTCCAATTATGGGGTTGGGTCATTAAGTTCTCTCTCCTGGCTGTGGATTTTTTTGATGGTCAACTACAGATATGTTGTTAAAGATTAACGAGCAGAGAATCAAGCACCATAGTTCCAGGGTTGGAGAATTCAACTTAACTGAACCTAGCTCATCTTTGGTGCCAACTATTTTTGGTTTGCTACAGAAGACAACTCAATCTGGACACATATGAGCAGTACCATCCCTTTAACTCCACAGTGTCTATTTATTTCAAGTTGGGAGAGATGATAGATACCACAACAACCGTAAATACCGTAAAAAAACAACCCTAGACCCATGGAAGGAGGAAATCTTATCTGACAGCCTTAGTTGGCATGGATTGGTTCTTCAATTAATTTTGTTTCCTTAATGGACAAGGGCTTCTTTTGTTGTTATTTTTTGTATCCATGGGGTCAAACCATGGGTTTAGGGAGTTCGGATCTGCTCTTCACAGCATGTTTCAGCCATGCACCTGGAACATCTCCTTATGTATAAAAATTTACAAGCACGGAGATGTTCCAAATGCACGGCCAAAACATGATGTGAGGCCGGTGTGAGGCACGCTCTGTGAGGAGAAGATCCGAACTCAGGTTTAGGTTATGAAGTCCTTTCCGTTTATTTAAGTTCATAGTTATTGTGTCGTGGGTCCTTAGAGGGTTTTATGTGCTTCATCTAAGAACTGAAGTTACCAGCCAGGCATGGTAGTTTGATTTGTGAAAATTCTTTGCATCTGCTAATCTCCTGCAGGTTTGTGACTGCAATTTGGGAGCATTTCCTCTTGTTTTTTGTGTATAGGTGGAGGCCACTAGTTCATCTGAGACAACTGTTTGATGCTTCCTTTACTCCATTAACAAAGAGAGGAAGGATGCTGTGGAGGTGTGCAAGGGAAGCTATATTATGATGTGTTTGGGAAAAAGAGGACAATCACATTTTTAAATGATAAAGAAATTGGTCTAAGGGTAACCATTGATAACATTGCCATTAAAGTGGCTTATTGGGTTAGGACTGAGGATCTGTTTGCTGTATTCAAGACTGAGGACATTATAAGAAAATGGATGTGGCCAATTCTGCTCCAATAGGTCAAGAATACAAGCGGACTGGCAACCACCACACTTTCCATTTGTCAGTCTGAATTTTGGTGGGTGCAGCTTAGGCAATCCAGGGCCATCTGGGATAGGAGAGGTAAGTTGTCTTAAAAGGTTTAAAAAAGTCCAAAGAAATGGGGTTTAACAAGCTAATTTTAGAAGGGGACTCCAAAGTCATAACAGGCTGGTTAGGAAGTAATGAGGAGGGGCCATAGAAGCACAGATATGAAATCAGAGAAGCAAAAGAGATACTAAAATGAATTGGGAGCTTTCATTCAATGAACACCGAGGTCTGCTAATAGTCTTGTAGATGGGATGGCAAAACAGGGAGTGACAAGGAGTTCAATGTATTGGGGAATAGTACACTAAGGGGAAATTGCATGTGATACCGATTGGTACAATGATGGGTTGGCTGAGGCTGACCATCCATTCACTTATACGTAGTCAAATCTTTTCTGATTAATAAAATTTTCACTGTTTTCGGCAACTAAAGGGATTCAGGCCTCACAGTTGGGGGCTAGACTGAATTCTAGCAACTTTTGGGATTTGTAATCCGGGGGTTGTAGTGGTTGGACCCTGTCAAGGTTTTCCTTGGGGGATCCCTTTGTATCTTATTTCAAGGTTAATAAAATTTTACCTTACATTTTCTAGAAAAAAATAACTGTTATCAATCCAAAAAACAAACATGGTAGTTTGGTTTCTTTATCTAAATGGTGTCGGCAGCATCATATGATATATAATATAGGTTGGAGTTTTCATGATATTGGAAGATTATGCCTTTTGGTTGTTTCCCCATATGGTTGGAATAAGTCTTGGATGATGACGATGCCTTTTGGCTGTTGCCTATTGCTTAAAGGATTTCCAAGCCCGATTGATTTGTAGGAACCTTAGAATGATGCTAGATCTTTTTCTTCTCTTTATTTCCATTACTCTCTTTGCTGCTTACTCCTGGGATCTGATACAGCAAAAGGAGCACATTTTCAGCTGTTTCTGTAGCATCATCTTTATTTATTCTTCCCCACTTTCCCAAAGCCTAAAATAGTTTCTACGAACTTCCTATAGCAAGGGAGAGTGAGGTTTAGTGTCATACCTTAAGGCTTGTGCCTCTGTGTGTATGGAATACTATAGATGCCCCGGTGTTTCATTTCAATCCACCTAGTAAAACACTGGCCATGATCACTTGGTGATTGATTTAGGAATTGCTTACATCAGTATGCTTCACTTACCGTGCCTCTATTCACTATAAACTTATATCAATACTGCCAGTAATATTTTGGTAACTCCACTTTGGTTTAGTGTTATACCTTCAGGCTTGCGTTTCTTGTGCATGGTATACTTTAGATGCCCCATTGTTTCACTTCAATCCACCTAGTAAAACACTGGCCATCATCATTTGTGATTGGTTTAGGAAATGCTTACATCAGGATGCTTCACTTATTGTCCATTCACTATAAATTTATATCAATACTGCCAGCAATATTTTGGTAACTCCACTTCCACTTCATCATATTCCATGGATTTCCCTGTATGCATCCTGCTATCTATTTGCTATGTATTTGCTTTCTTTTTCTTTCTTTTCTTTTTTTATTGAACATGATGCATTATCCTTGTTTGTTTGTAGTTGTATTGTTTTCCTACAAATTCTTTCCAAGTTAGAGCTTTTCTTTACATGGTTTTTTTTTTGGAACTTACATTTTCCTGTATGATAGTCGGAGGCAAAGAAAAGAAAAGCCCAGTTGCAAGAAGCCAAAAGGAAGAAAAATATCAAGAAGATAGAGCGTAAGATGGCAGCAGTTGCAAGAGAAAGAGCATGGGCTCAGAGATTAGCAGAGCTGCAGCAACTTGAGGAAGAGAAGAAAAACTCCATGGCTTGATTTACTAGGTCAGAAGAGGCCCATTAGTGAATGGTGATGCTGCAATCCTATGGCCTGACTTTTATTGGTTTTAATTGAATGTCAAATCTAACTTTGCTTGGTTAGTAGACTTAAATTTGTCATAAGGTCCATATGATTTTGTTTTATTTTTTGGTATTCCAGTTCATCTTTTTTCTGAGAAAGTTGCCATGTTGGGTAGTATTTCATTTTTTTTTTATCAATTTGGGTAGTATTTCATTTCTTCCAAGAACTTGTTACAGCTTTGGTTATTTCTATTGGTAATTAAAAAAATTATGTTATCTCTGTTAGTATATGACTGGTCCACATCAAGTAGTATATTGAAATGGTTTTCTATAATGGAAAAAGAAATTGCATCAATATTTGAATTCGATACATTCCACTTGTTTATCCTTTGTCCGTCTTGGTCTGGTTTTGACTGCAATTCTTAGTGCTGTACAATTGATACTAGCTGGTGAAATTGTTGCCATCTAGAAAAGACAGTTTTTTTTTATTTTATTTTTTGGTAAAGCAATGTCTATAGTAGAGGTGTAAATCGGGCTGTGCTGGGCCGGCACAGCACGGCCAGCAGGCTGAGTTGGACTGTGCTTCCCTCCCCTAAGATATTTTGGGGGGTCGGCTTGGCATGGCCCATGGCATGACGAGCTGAGCCTTGGGCCAAGCCTTTTTTTTTTAATTTTTGAAAAATAATGAAAAGTTAACATAAATTAATATATATAAAAAATTAAAAAAGATCTTAAAATTTTATTTTATATGAATTTTGATGTATACGATTGTTTATATATGCAATAATAAAATGAAATGATATAATAAAATTAAAAATAAAATTATTGGCACGGCCAGATTTACACCTCTAATCTTACCAATCAGTACTTAGAAGAGTTTTTTTTTTTTTTAATCAGTACCTAGAAGAGCCTAACCAATCAGGCAATCAGAAACGTTAACTGACCAGTTGATTGCTTATTTATTTGTTAGGTACTATACCTTTTTGCTAATATAGTGGGTCTATGTAAGCATCTATGTAATGCTGGAAATGTGCTACTTGTGCAGTGTAAATGGACATTAATTAATAATATATCAATATGCTCTGCCACCATCTTGCCATCTTCCCTTTGATAAATCACAACTCATTATTTCAGTAAATGGTTCCCATAATGATCTTTGAGACATTCCTATGGGCAACAGTTTTGTTTTGGTGTATTCCTTGTCATAAAATAGGTTTAATTTGGTTCCTTGAACCATTTCCTAGTGAATTCAGTAATTTCACTCTGTAGATATCCGGCTTCCAGATTTAGCAAGGGTTCTTGGGACTTACAAAAGTTCTATGATGTCCTATAACACCACCATCATCTAAGCCTTGTCCCAGCCATATGGGTTCAGTCTACGTGAATTCCGAGTCGCCATTATGTCCTGTTCAGTGCCACATCCATCTAAGCCTTGTCCCAACTATGTTTTCCATCAGTTCATCACTATGTGCTAAACTCTTGTTTATTCATGCAATTTAAAGAACAGTTTCAAAATATAAGTAAATTAATTCAAACTTGGAGGGTTTGTTTTGCAGAACTCGAGAGGAAGTTCTTGATTTGCGATCTTTTCGGTTTGGCCTTACAAACTTGATCAAAGAGGACTGGGAGAAGAGTGGACTTTGGATTTAGTCCTCGCAAAACTGTCTTCACAACCTTTTGCAATTGTGCATTGGGAATATTTTTGTACTTATCACTCTGTCATGTTTAAGTAGGATCATAGGGGTATTTGGAAGCATGGTGTTGCATATCTATTTAGGGTCCGTTTGGTTTGTAATCGGAATCAGAATCAAAATTCTTCAGAATTACAATTGGAATGACCTATTCCCATAGTCTGTTTGGTTCAGATAGGAATGGGAATAGAAATTAGAATCAGCAGGAATGAGATTTTATTCCTAAGAAAGAGACAAGGAATGGGAATGAGATTCCGATTCCGTTCAACCAAACAGTTGGAATTGAAATAGTCCATTTCAATTTCGATTCCAGACTTCTATTCCCACAAACCAAACGGGGCCTAATTTAAATTTCTATTATACGTATCACTGAAATTACCGAGGAATACTTGTGGGCCTCATGACTTGTCTAGTGGTTCCAACTACTCTCAGCTCAGGTATCCAAAGGTAGTCATTCTGAATATGCCCAGTTGGAGGGGTTCTGATCTGTATGCTCGTCATTGCTTTTATCCATGCAATTTGCTTTTTTTGTTAGCAACAAAACAACAAAAGAAACATATAATTTTTATATTTGGTCGATCACTTTGGTTGCTTTACCACCTTTTTACCAAAGTATCAATGGGTTTTCCTCATCTAAGAGAATGGGGGAATTTCTTAATAGGTTAAGGAAGTTTGATTTCTACGTCAAATCAAGTTTTAGGACATCAGTTCAATGGGCTGGACCATTAAATTCCATTGGCGTGGTAAGAAGCTTACAAAAATAGTTTCTTTCGTCAAATCTGACAAGTCCTTTGGTTGGGAGACATATATAATAGATGGCAGTCTGTTTCCATTTGTATAATCCGAATTGCCTCATGGAATGGGGAACAATAACTCATCTACATTCAAGGGCACAAAATTCCATATACCAATTAATTCCATACTCCATAATGAACTAGCAGAGGGTACATGCTATGCGTGGGTCTATTTAATTTCCATGCAGTATTTCGTGTTTTTTTTTTTTTTTAAGAAAAGAATAGCAAATAAATGCTCAAAATACAGGACTGTAATTCCTAAGGTTGCATTATTGTATAGGTTTTCCTACCTTTTCCTTCAAATCAAATACAGCCTGACTAACGTTTGGCTCTTATCAATTGAAAGTGAGAGAATAGAAGCAAGTTCAATTGGGCAATTTTGTCATGATTCACAAAAATAGAAAAATAAAAGGAGAAAAAATTATGTTAATATTAGCCTTAAGAAACAAAAAGAAACAAATGGAAAAACAATTATTGAGATAGAGAAGGGAGGAAACATGGGGTGAAAGGTTAGGTTCAATAGTTAGAATCATTTTAAGTTGTGCTTGGTATCGTTGCTGTTTCTACATGAAATATTTTGAGTTGGTTAATATAAATTTGTGAGTGAGTTATTATGGATTTGATCAATACAAATTTGTGAAGGAGATATCAATACAAATTAGCTGTTTTTAAGTGAAACAAAATTTGACATGAAGTGACTCATATGTGATGTGACTATGTATTCTTCTTTAAGTCATCAACCTAAAAAATATTTTGGAGGACAGGCCTAATGCAAATTTCTAATTTTCACTGTGGAGCTATAAACATTTAAAATATCAAAAAACCCCATTCTATGCATCAATGCCCGCCCATGAATTGGCATCAATTCCGCACCCATCCTAACTGTACTTTGGGCCTAAAAATTCTGACCCTAGGCTGAACCGTCATTCTCCCAAAATATTTAGGACAAAAACAGCAATGGTTCCAAAAACAAGCTGAAGTTAATGCAGGACACAAACCACTTGTAGTGGGTATGTCAAACCACTTGTAGTGGGACACGGTTTGAACCACTGGCTCTGGAAGGAGTACAAATTCAAATACATACAAAATAATACAAAATGTAAGGTTTTGTAGTTTATAAATTTATATTTGTACTCCTTCCAAACTGAGCCACTTGTACAAAAGGAGTACAAATGCAAGTGCAATTAGGTTCACAAGGCTGGAAAGCTACTGGGTTACACAGTTTTGCTAGTTATATATACTTGTCAAAAAAACCAGGACCCGAAGAGTGCAAATACAAATATGTAGACTGGTGCATATTTGTATTTGTAATCTTCCAAAACTGAGCCTTATGGTTCGGCCATCTCTCTTAAAGCAGTGTCCTATTAGAAAGCTTTCCGCCAGTTTAGATTACAGAGAGTTGTAATAATGCAAACTTGCAAAGTTTCGATATTTTCTTCTCCATTATATTCCAGTAGCTGAGCACTGCACGCACAAATGACAGCTCTACACGTCCATCTATTGTAGAGTCTTTTGAACTCCTCCATCGCTAGACAATGCCGATGAAATCTGGATTTGGGCGCTTATAATGGACACCAACATGGACGTGGGTGGTTCTGGTTATCTGATATCTCCACGTATTGTCCCATCAAACAACATATATTATAATCAAGACAAGGGATAAGGACGAGCTGGCCTGGAGTTTTCGATTTCGATCTGTTCATTAAATCCAACAATCATCTTGCATTCTATTTGGATTCTGGAGGGAGAAAATGGAGACAGACAATCCAGAAGACAGCGACAAAAGAGATAATACCATTACATCTTCACCTATCATCAGTCCAATTTATTTAATTACAGATAATATATATTTGCATACAGCTGGTACGGATTTATGGAGCCAAGGAGGTTTCTCTTCCTGATAAGCCGATAAGCTCAAGCTGCTATCGAACAAATCCTAAGATGAGATGGATGTGACGACGACGGGCAGTTTCCTCTTCATCTTCACTGTCGGAAAGTTGACGATGCAATCTTCCTCAGCCACCCATCTGCGATCGAGCAAGCAACAAGCAGCGATCAGCGATCAGAGATCAGAGATCAGAGAGCTTCTTTATGGGGTACCAGCGAATTCTATAACCAAGTTTATTTATGTACAATACAAAGATTTACCTGTAGCGGGTGACAAGGTGATGGAGGAAAATGGAGACTTCCAGCCTCGAGAGTTCAAAACCAGGACACAACCTCTGCCCTCCACCAAATGGTGTAAAGCAGTTGTTATAGTTAAAGTTCCCTCCTTTTCTCTGTTAGAATAAAGCAGAGATCACAGCTTGTTACTGAAAACAAAGAAATAAAAACAAGAAAGGCTTACTAACTAAAGCAGAGATCACAGAACTACAATTGGTGCGCCTTCTTAATTGTAAGTCCCCACTGTTTAATGCCAAAACAGAGCCTCACACATGCCTTCTCAATGTGGATAATATATCTAGCTAAATAGTACAAAGTAAGCAATATTTAAAACAAAGACCTCAACTTCACCTCACATGCATGCCACTCAATTACTTTTCTTAGCTTCTGCATTTTCATGGTGAAAATAAAGTTAAACAAAACCAGATCCGCAGCTTCTTTTCTTCCCCAAGTATACATTTTCAAGGATTGGGAAACTTTGAAATCATGGGTTTCATTCTAATTACAGAAACATGATAATTTCTTCTGAAGATTCTGCCTTTTCATCTAGGTGGTTTTGACTGACAGACAATCTATGTACTCCATCCAACATGCATGCATTAATTCAAAGCCTGTATTAAAACTAAAAGCGTGCCAAAAAGCAAATCAAATGACATGATTTACAAAGGTGAAATCCATCCATGTTTCTGTGCTGCTTTTCTTCGGTAGTGTTCTTTTGTGTGTCAAGTTGTGGGGGGGCTCCTTTATTATTAATATTCGATTTCCTCTCTAAAGCCTCTTCACCTTAGAAGCTACTCAACCAACACACGCATGCACAATGAATTGACATTGTTGTCATCATTGTTTCCATAATCTGATCCATGGCACTATCAAATCAAGGTAAACGCCCAACCATTGTCGAAGTTACTTTTGATAAAAAACATAATGATTTGATCAACATGGTTTCTTTAATTTCTTGTATTATTCTTGTTGTTTGTTAAATCAAATCACAACTTGGATGTTAAACAATAAAAAATCTATTTGGGGACCTCACCTAACATCGTTTTAGAGCTTGTTTAATCAAGTGGTCTAGTTTTTTATCCTCCCTATTGTTTTATCCAAGGTTAAAAATATCGATACATCCGATATGTCTGGTTCTTTCTTTTACTTTCTTTTTATATATTTCTTTTCAAAATTGGTTTAGGGGGACCGATTTAAGGCTCCTCCACCCTCTGAACCGGTCAGAACCCCGATACACCTTCTATAAGGGCATATCGGAATACTCCCAATACTTTCAACCTGCAGGATGGATTTGTGTTTATACATACATCAAACCCAATTGTCTTTGCATGAAGGAGGCGTGTTAGAGAAAAAAACCCATTCAAGGACCTCACTTGAGGGGCTCTATACAATTCCTATGTTCTCCCTGACTAAGGCTCACCTCCCATCTCCAAGGATCAAATCTGTAAGGGTCCTCATAGTTCTCTTCATTCATGTGAACAGACACAAACGACGCCAATACGCACCATCCTTTGGGAATAAAATAACCTGCAAAAAAAAAAAAAAAAAAACAAACCCATATAAAAAGGATAAACCCAAAACAAAAAAAAGGAAAGAATGTTTATTAATGGATTACAAAGAACAAACCCTTGATTTCTATGTCCTTCAGAGTTTTTCTCCAAACAGCATTGATGATGTTCGCCATTCTGAGAGTCTCATTAATCACCTATAGATGATAAGACAATTCAAAGACCTAATTCAATTTACACTAACGAATACAAGAACATTAATATCAATTGCATCTACTTTTGTCTCACATTTTGGGTAAACGGCAATGACATGTAATCAGTCCAAGCATAATCTTCACCCAAATGGGCCTTCCGTCTTTTCAACTCCATGTTCTCCTCCTAATCATTCCCACAAAAATAGAAATAATCACTAAACAGAGGCCAAATCACAATAAGAGACTCAAATGAGGGAATAAAGAGAAACGGGTTTTATAGGATTGCCGCGACCCGCCGGTTCCTGGGTCGGGTCAATGACATTTGTCAACCTCTCCAGGAAATATTTAGTTATGTTCCTCGGGCAACGATCCACCTAGGAGTCGGAAAATGTAACGTAGATACCTAGATTCATAAGCTCAGATTAGCCACGTGTAAAGTTTATGGCCGGTCTCAGAATGTAGGGCAACCTTTAACGACAATCAACCATCCTTAAAAAGTACATTCGGATTCGATGTTAATTACTGTTCATTAATACTTCCTTACGCAAAGAAGGTATGGTACTTTCGTACGCAATGCATCGACACAGCTGTAATTATCTACAAACAAGACCAACGAAATGCATAGATACATCGAATTGGTGCAACTCTTGGACACCTCGCCATATAGACAAGAGTTGCATTACCTCGTTGCATACTGACATTTAATCGTAATCAGAACCCTGAAACCCGTGGGCCGACTGTTTATCATCTAGGTTGGACGGCTGTGATTGACTCAGAAATTTATCTTCATCTTCTTGGGAATCACAACAAAACAGGTGGCACTGCGTCATATGGTGAAAGTCTCACCTATCAATTTATTGGTGGCCCACGTGATCGTGGGATGTGGATACAGTAAAATAGAGATTCTACTTTTTCTTTTTGTTAATAAATGAAAAAATTGACAGCTAGTCAGCTAGTGGTCCAGAGGGGTACTATAAAGAGGTAGTCCTCGCATCTGACAGCCGTCCAATCAAGATCGCACGGCGATGGGGGAAGTACTAACCAGATCATACCTCAACGAGGACTCCTCACATCCTTTTCCATCTCACTCGTGCGTATGTTCTCGTGTTTAATTGAAGAATTGTGCCTTCAAAAGTCAAAATTTTCTCAATGCCTGACGTGGCACCAATCGTATACGTGGCGCACATGCCTTATTTTGGACCCCAGGACATCTATTTCCTAGCCGTTGGATCTGGCAAAGCAAATGAAATGTTGACCGGTTTACCTGTAATTGCCTTAGAGCGAGAGGAGAATCACTAAGGTATTTGATTGCGAGTGTCATCAGCATGGGCACCGAGTCCTCTCCCGGTATCATCATCCCAATAATATTCCCACTGATGAAATCCAACGGTAACCGTTGCTTCTCATCAGCTGCTTCACCAGAGTCACACAACAACACATCTACTGCGTCCATGGGAGGACCTCTCTCGTCTGTGTTCTCCATTTTCATTTTCTTCTCCTCCACAATTCTCCTCACCATCTTCAACAGCCTTTCCTTAGCCTATAATTAATAAAGCCAGAGAGAGAGAGAGAGGACAAGTTAACGTCAGTGAACAAAGAAAACTGTTAACAGACCAACCCACTGAAGATCTTAATTGTTACCTTCAATGATTTATACAGTCTGGTTCCCGGTAGCTTAATCGGTAAACAGACCAAACCTTTAATGAATTCTCCAAACTCTCTTCTCAAGAACTGTAAATCTTCGCCTGGGCCAACGCTCATCAATGCTTTAACCAACACTTGGAAAGTAATCTGAGGTAGCCGGAAAAGATTGTTGATCAAACCATTACGAATTCGAAAGAAAACAGTGAAAACGAGAAAAAAAAAAGAATAAAGAGAGACCCACGTTTCTGGTTTCTTCTTGCATGTAAACGAGGTTTCCCTCCTTCCAAGTTCCCATGGTTTGATCGACAGCCTTCTCTATCTCTCGTGTGATTCGAGCTTTGAGTTGAGGAGACTTAAGGAAGCTTCCTATTAAACCATGCACTCTCTTCTGTAGATTACCGTTCATTTGAAGTATAGAAGATTTTCCCAGTAATTCGGTGATCGATTTGGGGTAGAAAGGGATGAAGATGCTTCCATTGTTCTGCAAAACCACCTTGTTCACGTCCGGATCAGTGGAAATTATGATGGGTACTCCTAATATGTGAGATCTGAACACCTTCCCATATCTGAAAATGGAGAAGAATTAAGATAAATCGTTTGGTATTGATGGTGAGAAGCAAATAGCAAGAGCCGATATAATTACAAAACGTCAAAACCCAACAAAACTAAAAATGAAGAAACTTGAATATCTAAATTCCCGTGTCAGAAATCAGAAAAAAGATTCCATATCTGAAGTGGAGAAAATCGGAGCTAAAAGCTGCGCATTTGAATGTAAACCGAAAGAATACGTAAATAAACTTTGGAGAACAGAAAAGGTAAAAGACTGAAAGGAGAGACGTGGGTCGGAGTCGGAGATCTTTTTATTTAGGTTACTTCACGTGACATTTTTCTTTCTTAAATTGATTGGAGGCTTGGAGCAAAGAGAAGAGGAGAAGAAAAGAACGCCATTTTCAGTGGGAAATTATTCTTTTTGGGAGACAAATTTTCGCCTGTAGAACTAGAAATATATCTATGGCCAGTATTTCTTCTTTATTCTATTTGTCATTCCTTCAGTATTCAAACAAATTGTACAAAAACATATGAAATATGGAGGAGGTAGATACTATAGAAAGAAAATAAAATAAGAAAAACTATCCAGAGAGAAAAACCAGCTAAAAGAAGAATGTTTTTCCACCACAGTTTTGCAGGAGGAAAACACACTCACACACACAAAAGAAGAAACGCTTACAGAGCTTTGCGCTTTTCCATGAAGCTAACAGGTCGAGAGGTGTAGCCGGAGGCGATGAAATCCAGAGTCTCTCCTATTAGAGGCCACCCTGAACTCCCTCTAGGAATCGCAGCCTTGTTCTCTAATCGTTTCTTGCTCTTCCTCTTCCACCAACACCATCCCACAAAACCCACCAAAACCCAAAATCCTAAGACCAGTTTCATTCTCGGAAGCTGCAGCCTCTAATCCTCTTTAACTTATTACGTCAACCCTCGACACTCTTTGATGAGAATTGAAAGAACTAGCTAGCTAGCAAATTAAACACTCTTTTCACAGAAACCCACTAATCCAATTTCTTACTTCATACAATTGTATGAATGGACACCAGCCCAAACTCCCATTACCTTGTATTAGATTTGAAGTTTGATTGCAGAGAGACAATGGGATCCTAAAGCTTTTGCATAAGAAACTAGCTTCTCGCTCCTTTGTCTCTGAAAGATGCAGGTTCGAATTATAGAGAGGGAAGGGAGAGGAGGCGGAGAGTGAATGACAGTGAATGAGAGATTCGGGAGATCTAGAGTATATAACTTTTAATAAATGAGAAAGCTATGATGGAAGCAGCAAATGCGCCACGCTTATTCATTTTGTCTTCACTCTATGCGGTAAAAGAAAGAACATTAAAACTGTGTCTCCCTCAAGATTTTTATCTGATACACTTGCGAAAAAAAAAACGATCTTTAATTTAATTCAATCCCAATCGAGAGAAGCTCGTCGCGTATGGGACGTCCCTACAGTGTTTCAGTTCGTCGGATTGGAACGCAGAAACGTATATCTGATCGTGTGTTGGCATGAATCCTGTGACACATGTAAGAGGAGCGGAGATGGAGGTTTGGAATTGAATCTGGAAATTTAACGAAGAGAGGTAAGACAGTAAGAAGAGTATCGGACTGCAAGCAGACACGTGAGATTGGTTGGTTTCGTGTACAGAAGCAACAGCAGTGAGCCGAAATCGTCAGTCTCTCTCAAACCCATTCCATCGTCCTGTCATCATCACTCTTGGCCACAGACCCCTCTCCTTCTCTCTTCTTTCATGTCATTCATTTTCATTCTAACTCTGGCTCGGTTCCGGTCCGACCTTTTTCTCAGCCTTTTTTTCTACTTTTAGTATTAACCAACCTACTTCGTCTTGGTCATTTGAGTGTGTCAGTTAGGGGTAATGGGTTAGTCACTGTTGTGTTGGATGCTTCATACTTGTCGCCCAGAAGCCTTTTTAAATTACTTCCATCTCATCTGTTTGATATATTGTCTTAGAGATTGAAGCTTGCTAGCCATTACTGTTGGTTCAATTCTTAATAGTTTTATCGTCAGGTTTGGTTCTATTGTCCAGGGGACAAGCGCGCGGCGATATAAGCCGGCCAGTTTCACAAAAGCAACTCTGCCCTCTAATAAATTGTTCAGTGCAACAACGCCTCTGAGCCTACCCAAGAAACCATCATTCCAGGCTAGGCGACAAGCTGATTTTCCCACCCAGCCAACAGGTTGGACTAGCCGTAGCCGACCTGGTACGAGTTTGGCACATCTTTGCTTTCTGGGTTTTCATCTTCTCTAAAATATCTTTTCTTCCTGTTGGCCTAGTTTGATAATTGATATCTGATATCCATTCCATTTCGTGTCTATCAGCCATTGGCTCCAAAACCTGATCAAAATCTGGTATTCACTATTCATTATTGCTATCTTAACACCATTGTTAAACGGAAACAGAAAAGAAACAAGAAAAATAATTGAAGCCAAACGGAGTGATGTGTGAGTTCAACGTTGTTGAATCGAGGGTCCCTCCCTCCATTAATACGATTAAGACCCTGAGATAAGGATGAGTCAACAGACTGAGCCAAACATTCCCAGCTCAGTTCAAAACCCGAATCCATTTGCAATCTGGGTTGAGAATCGAGACATGACTACATGAGAGAGTCAGCGAAGTAGGGAGTACTGGAGTAGCCGCCCTTATCTTTACATGTAAAAAGACGAGTTGAATCGAGACTGGGCCAGACCTTGTAGCCTTCTTGGGCAATAAAAACAACGAACCTGAACTGGGGACGGACGCCATGAGGCCTGGGTTCAAGTAGAAGCTCCGGTGGGTGGTGGTGGGTCGGGTCAATAATTGCCACACGTGTACTCGTAAAGGCTTGGCTCCGGACACGTGGCACGCAGGGTAGTTATTAGCCTTAATCTTGGCCCCAACATGACGCATGACCCATCCCACTCCCCAGTCTCCCCCCACATTTGGCTTACACGTGTATGTAAGTTGTAACTACCTAGTGTAAAACGAAGCTGAGGCTTGCAGTGAATGGTCACCAGAAGATGATCACCGGGTGTCAGAACTCAGAAGCATCCAATGGTGGATTTGGGCCCACTAGCCCCTCACAGGCCCATTACCTATCCTTTTGTTGGGTCCAACGTGCACTTTTCAGTTTTCATTAATTTTGGTGGGTCTACTCCTCCTCCTTCTCGTGGAAATCCTTCCCTCCATCTTCTCCTCATCAATCTGTTGAGGAGGGAGGCCCATCCTTGCCACCCATGGTTTTCAGGATCGACCGTTATAATAACAGTTACTAATGGCGATAGACTGTAAAATTAAAAGCCATAAAAGAAAAGAGATTAAAAAAAAGATACGGTGAGAAACAACTAACAAGTTCCCAACATTCTTTCTTTAATAATTCATTTTTCTTGTATGGTGAGAAAAGATCCCGTATGGTACGGTTCCACCTAAATCATGAGGCAAAGCACAGATCCTACGTGCGTCATCGTCTCGTTCCCTTATAAGTTACATCAATGTCATATACACGTATAGAGAAATGATATGCTCAATCTAAAGTCTAAACCACTACGGACCAATAACCACGATAAGGCACATCAGCCTGACAAATGGGGCCCACATGTACAGAGGCTGATGTGCTGTTTCATGATTGGCCCACGATTAGAAGTGTGGATTGATTTGGACTGAACCCGTAGAATGTAGGAGATACCCTGGATTTGGCTAATGGCTACCCATTTTGATTTTTTTTTTTCTTTTGATTAGAAAGATACTGTTTCATTCATTCTTCGATTAGTGCTATCCATTTCAAAATTTAGGGTGCATTTGGTTTATAATTAAAATTCCTTAAAATGATCTATTCTCATAATCTATTTGATTCAAACATGTTCATTCTTAAGGAAGAAGAGAAATTGGATCTCAGATATTCCAAACCCCTATTCTCACAAACTAAATGGGCCCTTAGATGTTAGAAGCAGGATTAGAAAATATAAATCTTTGGATGGGTTATAGGGCAATATATATATAAACAATCTACGAGACCGAATCAGCCCCCCACAGTACATCCCCGCCGTGTGGACGTTATGAGGGGCAGTTTTGTGGGGGTTGATTTGAACTCACAATCTACACACAAAATAATCAAAGGTACTAGAATCTGATTCTAGGCAGAGAGTGTAATCTTGAATGAACTGACTTACAGCCAGGCTAGCTTTACCAAAGGAAATCAATGCCACAGAACAGAAGAGCATGCACCGACCCTCAGTACAAGAAATGGACACACAAAACATCCAGCAGTTTCTGTTCATATCCTCGTCAATTAATGAAAGGATGAACATTAATTTCTTGTCTATCCAAACAAACAGATGAGTAATGGATGGCCATTTCTAGTACAAAGGGCGTAATTGGGTGTTCCAATTTGCCCCACATGTTGTTCTTTTGACATGGCATCCATGCATGCATCATCGATATTACAAGTTCTAGGCGTAGTCCCTTCCTTCGGCCATGAAGTGAAAGTGACGCTTGATACAACGACCACACAATGACCAGAGTTTTCTCATTTCTGGTCTAGTCAAGACTAAAGAGCTCCTGGGGGTGTGGCCAGCCATGGCGCTGCTCCATGCGCTCATGCTATCTGCCTGCTCTACATGCCACATGCATAGGAATGCTTGGGCCAACCAACATGTGCTGTGCTGGAGCACTGCCCCAATAAGAGTCAAGGTTCAAAATTTAGATACGTATCAGGATCAATACACATCATATTAGTGGCCTTTCGATATATCTCTACAGAGGGTGTTTTGGGGTGTGACCTGGTTTAGGGGGTAGATGGGTAATCTCTACCGAGGGTGTTTCGGGGTGTGACCTGGTTTAGGGGTAGATGGATCTTAAACTGACCCCTCTGAACCAGTTAAAGAAAAAAAATTACAAAAAACGAGCCAAGATATAGGCCGATATGCCTCAACCGATACATCGACTTGTATTGATATTTTGAACCTTGACAAGAACTATATATGCTCTTAATGTTTTAGTAAGTTTACTAGCTTTTGCTTTTATCTTTTAGGCGCCAAACATTAGGGCATGTGAAGAGTAAGGGCCAGCTCTGGAACCACCACAAGAACTGAATCCTATAAAGCCAACTTGAATCAGACAAAAGAATTTGAAAGGATCCCATTGTAGGACAGATATCTGGTAATTAGAATTAATATGTGGCATGCATGAAAACTGCTGGAATATCAAATTAATTCTTAGATCTAACTTTCTCTCTCTTGTCCCCTACTAGATATCTGTAAACAGATGGGATCGGGGGTCTGGCTTGGCTAATTTTACTAGTTTATTGAATATTCCCAAGCCTGAAATGCAGTTAATGCACCAATTCCATGGTTATGTCCTTGAAATCATTATCCAACAAATGGAAAGAAAGTTCTGTGGTGTAGAACAGTCTAGCTTTAACTCATTAAAACTCATTAAAGCTAAAACAAAGAAATAATAATTTCTATAAACATATTATCCCTGTATCTTACATTTTCATGTATATAGAAAATTAGCTAGGGAAAAACTTTTGTTAATTATTTCATTATATATACTATTAACTTATATTAAGCAAGTATATAGCAAATAAATATAACTAAAAAATATAAAGAAAATCACAATAGCTAAAGGGAGGAAGATCTTGGTTTCAAACTGTTGTTTCCTTGGTTTTTTCTTTTTTCTGAAAAATCAAAATACTTTTCAAGTAGAAATATCTCCCAACAAGTAGAAGTGTGGAACATCTATATCTTAAGGTGCAATGTATACTAATTCAATAATTGACCTTCAGATCCTTATGGAACAAAGCTGCTGACATGGTATGGTTGTTGCTATGCCATCCAAATACATTCCAAGTACCAGATTTTGATGAAATAGAGGCAATATGGAAAAATAAATATATAGAATCATTTGCTGATAGGACTAAGAATCATTTTACATTATGGCATATGGCTTCAAAAAAAAAATTACATTATGGAAAAAGCTTGGATCTAGAGACAGAATCTAGACTAGGACGATCACAGACCCACCTTGAATATTAATGGGGACACAAAATCAGTTTAAATTCTCATTCAATATATGTGGTTTTTAAAGCAAATATTTTGAGGTGGGGATCCATTTCCTGAAACTTTGCCACGTGGTAAGTTAGATGGGCCTAAGCCCACAATAGGTCCAATGCAGCTGTGCCCCCTGTACCAGAACCGTTGAACCAACCCCTTACATTATCCACTATTGGTTTATGGAATCTATTTGTACTGTGTCATCATAACGAAAGGGGTAGAGCAGTGAATCAGAAAGCTTGAGGTGAGGGTAGGTATTCTCAGACAGCACGGTAGTATCAGATTTGAATGAACAGGCTAGAGGCGGGTAGGTAGTTGGATAAGTGTTGGTTTTATAAAAATTGTACATTTATGCAAATGAGGTGTCGTGGTGTAGTTGGTTTTTGCGGTTTACTCAGATGAACGTGTCAACTAGTGGAGGTTATGGTCGTCGGACCGCCGGCGCCGGAGAGGACATGTCCATGTTGTTGGAATGTGAAAGTGAAACATCCCATCTCGCCGTTGTCTGTTGCTGCAGGCAGCAGCGAGCATTCGGTGCCGTATATTAGAGCATCAGATAGCAGATGCTATTGCTGCCCACCTAAGCCATGGATTGGGGTGAGCTAGTATTTCATGGGCCATGGCTCTGATGTCGAGCTCATTGCATTTGCAGCTCTAGTCTTTTCTTCTCTACGGATCATCAGAATAGTAGCTCCGTGAGCCGAACCTCAAACTCGAAAGTGTTCAACGACGATCATGACTTATGACTATAAACTTTCTTTCAGTAAGAGGCACACCGTGTTGAAGCATATCCCAGACCAAAATCTGATGGGAGGAAATTTTCCTTGTGGGCCCGGATTAGCTGTTCTACTTTTACCAGAAAAAAAAAAGGTTTAGCTGCACGTTAATCAAGCATGACAATGAAAGAGTGGTTACTCAGCCCTTAGCACAGTCATAAGTGCAGCTAATTCGAATTCTTTTCTTATACATCCAGATGGAAATCTTGGATCAGAGGTTACTTATTTTAAATCCTTGACACTGGTATTTCAAGGCAACCGCAGTTGTATCATGGCGTGGTTAATTGGTTATCTTAGTCACAGCTCTAAGCCCCAAACTGGGGCTATTCCGATTCCAACTGTTTGGTTGGACAGCATCAGAATCCCATTTCTGTGGAATGACATTCCCCCATTTGAGGGAATCACCATTCCCTGCCTCTCTCTATCCCATTCTTGCTGATTCTAATAATCATTCTTATTTCTATCTGAACCAAACAGATTATGAGAATAAATCATTCCCATTTTGATTCCGGAGGATTTCGATTCTGATTCCAAACCAAACAGACCCTAAGAGGAATGCTAATAAACCAGCTTATCCAACTCTATTAGGAACACTACTCAAATAAATATTTAAATACTGTGGACTTGAAAGAATGCTAATAAACCAGCTCATCACACAATATTTAAATACTGTGTGATGAACTCGAATTTGGTCCTCACAAAAATTGTCCTCACACTGTCCTAGTGTTTTGCAGCCATGCATTGTAAGCATCTTCGTATCTGTATATTCTCAATGCACAGCGCTGCAAGGGATATGAGGACGGTGTGAGGACCCGGGACAATTCTATTTGTGGCTATTGCTGAGGCTTGGGCAACTTAAGAGATAAAGCTCTCTTGCTAGAAAACAAAGAGAATCTTAAAATTAAATCTCAAAAAAGTTTCTAAGATTGTGAGAATAACAAGGGAATAGCCACCAGGCACCACCCCTTGTTTCGGCTAATTTCGGTCCTCAATGTTCATTACTCATGCAGCTTCGATTCCCAAATGGTCCAAGTTCTGTTTGTAGACTTCGAAGCCAAAATTGGATTAAGAGCCTCCCTTCAGAAAATCAATTTTTATATTCATATAATTTTGGGCTTTTCAGAAATTCCCTACAGACTACTCCACCCCATCCCCCCAATCTTGGGATGATAAGGAAAAAGTGTCATTGAATTATTTTTATAACAGATTACAATCACATCCAAAACCCACAGGAAGCAAGGACAAGAGGGTAAGGAAGAAATTTTCAAGTTCTGTTTGCACAAGCAACAGCCGCATCATCCATTTTGGTGTAAAATGAGCTCAGATCTGTTATAGCAAGTGCTTCCCCGAACAATGACGCTTTCGTTGATTTCAATATGTGAACTTCTACATAATCACCAACTCTTGGATTCCGTTTTTCGTCAGTCTCGTCCCGATGTGGGACTGCAACATTCACAAATGAGACTCTGTGGCCCCTATCACTCTTTCCAATGAGTTCCCTCTCAGGAGCTCTCTTGTTGGGTCCTTCTACTAACACAAGTTGGATGGTTCCAATCTGGGAGTCATAGCACTTACCTGTTGTATCACGGAAAGCCTCGATGAGCTCAGTCAACCTCCTCTGCTTCACATCCTCAGGGACATCATCAACATAATTTCTATGGGCATGGGTTCTCTCTCTCATGCTATATGCAAACATGTATGCCATGTCATATCCAACAGCCCTTATAAGGCTTAATGTGTCTGCATGTTCCTCCTCTGTTTCTCCACAAAAACCTGCAAATTAATCCAAGAAAAATGTCAGGAGAGCAAGCATAGCTTTAGCAACATGCACCTTTGCCACAAATCAGACCAAGAAAAGTAATATCACCAAGTTGCTCATGACCTGTGCTATGTAATGGCCATACAACAAGTACGACCTAACCACCTGATCTGTATGTTCATTTGTTCAAATTCTGGTTTGCAATTTGCGATTCACATCCATTAGATAAACAGACTTGAGTCTCATTAGGGCTGTTCATAACAATACCCAAACCGACCAACCCGGTCCGAAACCGAACCGACCCGAACAAACTTAGATATATTATATATATAATATATTTCAGATATTATATATATATTTCAGCTTTATTTCAGAAATATACATATTATATATAAAAAATCAGTTTTAATCCACCAAATCATTTTTAATTTCCAGGCATCCAGCCTTTGCTTTCTTAGACTTGAATCCTTTACTGTTCACACCGAGAGAATCATTCACAAAACCGACCCAAACCGATTCAAACCGACCAGGTTGGTTTTACTTAGTACTGAGTCGGTTTTGGTTTCATTTCTAGGTAAACTGACCAGGTCGGGTCGGTTGGAAAAACGCCCGTAAACCGACCCAACCTGACCCGTGAACAGCTCTAAGTCTCATAATGGCTATTTTGTGCTAAAATGCTAGAGGTCAGGACCGTCAGGTACCCAATCAGGAGAGCACCCATCACAATATCCGTAAATGGATACAGGTAATGATGCAAAAGATATTGCAGTTTTATATTCCCAATATACCACTCAATCAAGAGCATTCTATATACATTTCAACCATGAATGGACACAGAAAAGTAGCCAGATGGCAGACTACTGAAAACGTATTCATAAACCACTAAAATAGAAAGAGAAGAATACCATCATACTCCTCCAAGGACCCAAAAAAAATCTTGAATAAAATAACAAATGGTCTATTTGGATCAATGGGTGGCTATGGTTTTCAGCTCCCTTAGCATATGATATCTAGACTATAAATAACTAAGTTCATAATTGTTGTTGTATCAGACCATTCATGAAGTGATTTTGTCTCTAGTATGGAATAATAAATCCTTACCACATATAAAATCACTGCTTATCCCAACATCAGGAATGGTGCTTCTAATCTTCTGCACAAGATCCAAGTATGCCTCTCGAGAATACCCCCGACGCATTCGTTCAAGTACTGTTGTGCTTCCTGTTTGTGCAGGCAAATGGATACTTTTGCAGATATTGTATCTATCTCGCATTAGATATAGTAATTCATCTGGGAAATCTTTAGGATGTGGGGATGTATATCTGAATCGCATCTCAGGAAATTCTGTGGAGAGTCTATCCAGAAGATCAGCAAAGCGCAGACCCATGTTCTTTACCTTGCACATGCTGGAAAAGCCTTCACTATACTTCCAATTGATTCCTGGTTCAACATCTTTGTCAACTCCAGAAGCATCATTGTAGCTATTCACATTCTGACCAAGAAGCATTACCTCTTTCACACCCTCTTTCCAAAGTTCACCTACTTCTCTTACAATTGATTCAACAGGACGTGATCGTTCTCTACCTCTAGTGAAAGGAACAATACAAAATGAACACATATTATTGCAACCTCTCATCACAGAGACAAATGCAGTAACTGAGTTCTTTGAGATCCTGACTGGACTGATATCGGCATAAGTTTCTTCAAGAGAAAGAAGTGTGTTTATCCCCTTTTGACCATCGTCAACTTCTTCTAACAAACGTGGCAAGTCCCTATATGCATCGGGTCCACAGACTACATCAACCATCTTATCTGCATCAAGAATCTTATCCTTTAACCTCTCAGCCATGCATCCCAGTACAACTACTTTTGGAGGGTGCCAAGATTGCGACCTTCCAATGGACACATTACTCTTCCAGTGCCTCTTAAGAAACCAGAAATAGTTAAGTCTCTGCCACACCTTTTGTTCTGCATTGTCCCTGATAGCACAGGTATTAATAAAAATGATCTCTGCACTCTCAGGAACATCCACAACTTCACCGTAGCCAGCATTTTTCATGACAGATAAGACAATCTCCATGTCATTTATATTCATTTGACATCCATAAGTTTCATGGTAAATACGACCTCTTGGATGCACTTCCGAAGCTGGTAAGGAACTACACAGATAAAAAGGAGGAAAAAGAAAGTTGCAGTTAGGAACATCTATTTGAGCAAGTTAATAAAATAATAAGGATAAGCTATTCCAATCCACTTTTTACTATTGTCACTCCCTCTTGAATATCTTTAGTAAGTCAAATAAGTCAACTTCTAAATATGCAATATGGAGTGGCAATAGCACTATCCTGCCATGAAGGAATATTCACAAATACATAGTTCGTTCCATGCAGAAATTATGAAGTGGCAGAAGCGCCACTAATAAGACAAACAACAAAATGAAAACTTATAGATCATTAAAATTAAGAGAATCTTAAACATTTTAATTACCAGAAAGCAAAATTTTCATAAGTTCATAAATAAAACAAGTAAACATAATGAAACATGTACATTAGGTAAGTAGACAGCACAATAAACTGGCCTTTCTAAAAGTAAGTCCCCAATTGAACTAAAAAGAATAAAGAAGAACCATCAGCTTGTCCTGGAATGGAACATATGACTGAATAAAGTGACTGATGTGGAATCTCTAAATGTCTAATCAGATTGTGCTACTCCAAACTCCAACCATTTTCTTGAGTACGCTGATCAGGAAACTTGAACTGAACACAAGTAATCCAATGTACATACTGTTTGATTCTCATTTTTCAAGCGCAAGCTTAAAATCCTAGGACTCATATTATAAACCCCCTATACCCTTCTATTCTGGGAAAGTATAACCCAAATACAATACTTCCCTTTAGACCCCAGACCCTGCCAGATAGAACATTCACTGATCTTCTAATCCATCAGAATGTCAAACTCCCTGTGGTTACTAACTATCTAGCTTCTCTTAAGGTTTGAAAAATATTTCCATAACCTAAATTTTCTCCAATCATCCAGCCTACTAATTTGCGTCCTTACAACAAAGACAAAAGCTTAGCTCTGAAGGAGTCTCCCCATCTTGTTGGAACTAAATACGCATAAAATATCATATTTATGGTCCCTAAAGGTGTGTAAATCAATTAAATGGAGTGGGAAAGTTGTCACTCAGCTTTTCTGTGAAATTGGGAAGGCAAGTTCCTTCTAGCAAATGGAGCATTGAGAACATCTCATGGACCTAACAATTATTAGGATGCTTATCCTATAATGCACTGCCAGAGTTAGGTTTTAGTTCAAAAGGAGTGTCCCTCTTCCTAAGACTCTGAACTTGTTCTGGAGGAACCTCCTAGAACATTATTTTATTACTAAAACTTTCAACAATTAATAAGGCTTTCCAACTATGCGTGGGGAAAAAGTGGGAGATAACATTAATACAACTAGATAGCTATGGGCAATAAAACCAATAAAGTTGGTACAACCCATTAGTGACCAAGCCCGTAGTGTAATTCCAACAGATTGCCCATCCCATATTTTAGTTCATGTTTTATGGGAGAGTTTGCTAGTTTAGATTGTACGATGAAGTCTAAATGACCCAAGAAACTTAGTTTGGGGCTCAAAAGGAGTCCAAGTGTTCCTTTCCCCATCCTCTCAATCCATGGAAAAAGATTCATAAAAGAATGTTCTGGCACATGTTTAATAATAAAACCTTTGACCTTTCTAGGAATCCTTTCAAGAAAAATATAGAATTTGGATGGCTGTTTTTTGTTGGGAAAACTCCTATACAAGGTGGTGTATAGGGTTGGTGTTAACTAAGGGAGTGACATTGACCAAATTTTCAGAGGATTCTCTACTTGATGAATGGTTTGGATTGGCCACAGGGTGTCTAGGGAACTTAGTTGACCCAATTAGCAAATCCATCCCTCTCCCTCCCTGTTGTATTTATTTATTTATTTTTGGATCAATGACTCATAGATTAAATTTAAAAAAAAAAAAAAAAAAACGATAGATGAGAAGATACAGCAGTCAAGCCACTAAACAGATGGGCAAGACTAGAAGAAGTCTCAAAAGAGGCCAATCACATATACAACTCTAAGAAGAATGAGGTACAACTTTTTTTAAGCTGAATGAAGTGCAACTGTACACGCAATGGCCAAAACGAAGAGGTAGAGTGTATGGAGATGCACTCAGGCAGCAGTGCTTTGGGTGATATGGGAGGAGAGAAATCTGAGAATTTTTTAAGAAAACAAAAGACGCAAGGAAGTGCTGATAGAAGGGAGCATGATAAAGGTGACTTCGTAGGTAAAATCTGTGGGATTGTTACTCAGATTTTATGATATCTTCAGAAATTGGAGGACAGTAGCATCCTCTTCATCAACTAAAAAGAAGGTCTTAAGAGAGTGGGATCCCCCTGATTCTGGCTTCCTCAAATTAAACTTTGATGGAAGTAGTTTTGGCAACCCATAAATGTCTGGAATTGGAGGGGTGATAAGAAATGACAAAGGGACTGTGGTGGGGTTGTTCTCAGGCCCTATTGGAAGGGGAGACTCCACTACAGCTGAACTAAAGGCAATGGTTTTTGGGATACAAAAGGCTATGGAGTTGAGTGAGAAAGCTGGTTGTGGAAGGCGATTCCAAAGTGGTCATAAGCTGGTTAAAGCAAAATGAAAAGACTCCCTGGCTCTATCGAAATGAAATTAAGAAGTTTAAATGCTTTTCCAAGGACATGCAGTTGTTAATACAGTGGACTCCAAGAGCAGCAAATGGCTTTGCAGATCAGCTAGCAAAACAGGGGGTTAACAGGGAACATTGTTTCTGGGCTCAGTTGTAAGGCTGGATAGTTAAAAGTCGATAGTTGGCAAACTCTAAATTCTAGTGGGGTAGCTGAGGCTACTCATTTCTGTAATCTTTCTGAATTTATTAATGAAGTCTTTTTTACTGATAAAAAAAAGGTTCTGTATCTTGAAATAATTCCTCCCAAAACCACTTCAGTGCTGTATGTAATGTAAAAACCAGGGGTGCTACCAACTTCTGATGCTTTATTTATGAAAAAATGGAGAAAAAGAAGTCAGAGAGCCTACTCATGAGTCATGACTTCACATGGAGGGTCAATGACTCAATGCCTAATGTCTTCAAAATAACTAGAGTTGAGCTGTAAAAGCATAAGCCTCAAAATAAATAAATAAGGCCTACACCTATGGATTTTTAGTACCGACTTTCTTTCTGGCCAGGCATTAGCATTTAGAAACCATGAGCTCACTTCTTCATGAAAGCATGGGTGTCTAGTAGACAGGCTTCTAAGGGGAAAAAAATTGTTAAGGTTTGTTAGATTGATATATTTGTAAATAAGAGAAGTTATAGATGAATGCCTGAACATCTATAAAAGGTTTATAAGGTATCCCCAAGGCTGTTAGCTGATAAGACCCCTAATATTGTATGGGCAAATTTTAAATGAAGAATCATAGCATCCATAAATGAACATATAAGAGATGAGGGTGTCAAGATGGATGAATGAAAAATACAATAAACAATAAAACTAGAAAGAAGCCCGTTCATTCATGAGAACCTAGGCATGGTCCCAATGTGTTACCAATGGGAAATCAACTCAGATGGTTTCTTCATTTGCATAGAAGCCATTATTGACCCGAAAGATTTATTGATCCGACACAAATAGAGGTTTCCAAAAGAGCTTCTGGATAAAGATTATTAGCTGCAAATATGGACAAGAAATCCACAATTTGGGGCTACTTCAGGCTTGCACTTCAAATGGATCCAGCATATGGAAACTGGAAAGGCATCACGCAAGTCAGGGATGTTTTTATTATAAAAAATATTGTTTATTTTTCTTATTACCAGTGAGGAATTCCAATTTTGTTTTTTTGCCTTACTTTTCTGGATTAATAAATTATCTTCATTCATCAAAAAAAAATTCCAATTCTGTTTTTGGACAGACTGATGAGTTGGTGACAGACCATTGGGCAATGTTTTCTAGATTTTTTCAGCCTGGTAGCAGCAAGAAATGATACAATTTAGGATTTATGAGCTGATAAGTGATCAGATTGTTTCATCACATCAACAAATGGGAAACTGATTCTCTGGCACACCTTCTAGAAACACTCAACTGGACTTCTATTTGGGGTGAACTGATTCAAGAATCTAGAAAGGCAGAACAAAATGAAGCATTTACAGTGAAGTCTTTCTATGACTCCCTGCTAGGTTCTTCAAGGGAATCTTTTCCTTGAAAGTGGGTATGGCAAGCACACGTGCCTTCAAAAGTCCCTTTTTCATGTCAATACAATAGCTGTCTTGGATAAAATCCTAATGATTAATCATTTGATATGAGATTATGAAGGGAAGAGGTATTAAAAACAGACGCAACCACTGTGAATAAGAAGAGGAATTAGTTCCACACTTGCTCTTTCACCACTCCTACACTTTAAATTCATGGTCCCATTTTTTGATACTCTTTAGACAATGTTGGGTAATGCTTGTCCACCTTCAAACTACTTGTCGAGGTTGCAAATCAGATTGAAAAGTTTATGAGAGATTTTTAGGAAACGGGAGCATGGGGGCTTAGGCATTGGTAATATTAGGTTAAGAAACTTTGCCTTGTTAGGGAAGTGGTTATGGATATTTCCCCTACAGCAGGACAGTTTGTGGCACTTGGTGGTAGTAAGTATTCACATTATGGCAGCAAATGGATGGGATGCTGATATTGACTCTAGGGCTTCTCACTTCTCCCCTTGGAAAGCCATTATTGGAGTCCTACCTACCTTTCGACCTTTCATCAGGTATGATGCGTGCTCAGGCAACAAAATTTTGTTTTGGGAGGAAATTTGGATTGGGAACACTCCCCAAGGATAGGTTCCCAATAATGTATTCTCTTTCTTTAAATAAATTCAAGGTTATTTCCTCCTTTTGTGTGTCTAAGGGTTCATGGAATTTGGGCCTGAGGAGAGGGTTGAGGGACTCCGAAGTGGCTTTTGCATATGAGTTGTTCTCTCTTTTAAGTTCAATTTTCCTAGATCATTCTTGCTTGGATAATAGAATCTGGTCAAAGTCCTCAGGTTTCTTCTCTTGCTATTCGTTTTTCAATGCTTCACTTCAATTTGTTGTTGTGCTTGTTGCTTTTCTTGCTAAAGAAGTGTGGTATACCACTGTTCCACCAAAGGTTAGGGCTTTTTGTTGGGAAGTGGTTCTCCAAAAGATGGATGCTATGGATGTGCATCAAAGAAAAAGGCCAAATTGATGCCTTTCCCCACATGTCTATAGCCTTTGCTTGAGGAGTGGTGAGACAGTGACTCATCTACTAATCCCTTATCCTTATGTTTCTTATATTTGGGAATGGTTTTCCTCTCCCTTTGGTTGCAGGTGGAATCCTCCCTCGTGTGTGTTGAACCTTTTGACTCTAATTTCTTCTAACAACCAAAGAAGAGGGGTAGAGTGATATAGAGAACAGCAAGAGCAGCTGCCCTATGGTCGGTTTGGAAGTAGAGAAATAACAGGATTTTCCAAGGGCAAGAAAGATACAGGGAAGCACTTGTCGAGGGCATTACCATCAAGTTTATACATTGGCTGAAAGCTTTACAACTTTTCTTTTGTTGGCTTAATTAGAGGTTGGAGTGCTATAGTTATCTCCTCTTCCTCATCTCTTATAGTTTAGGAGAGTTGGTCCCCACCTTTACTTTTTAGGGTGAAATTGAACTTTGATGGAAGCTCTCTAGGTAACCCAAGTCCCTCAAGAATTGGGGTGGGGGGGGGTGTCTTCAAAGATGAGGAAGGAAGAATATTGACCCTTTACTCAGGCCCAATCAGGGTGGGACATTCATTAAGGGCAGAAGTAAAGGCCTTACTCCAAGGTCTTAGACCGGCAAAACAATGGGGAATGCAATAGTTAGAAGAGGAAGGAGATCCCAAGCTGGTAACCGGTTGGATGCAAGCAAGAAGCTTGGGAGCATGGTCCTCCAAACAATTGCTAAGAGAAATTATGAACTTACCAAGGGAGCTTAGGTGCAGTTTAGATGGGTAACAAGATCAGCAAGTGGAATGGCTAACGCTTTAGCTAAGCAATGTATCAATAGGGGCAAGGCGCCAACCAGCTGGTTGGTAAGGTCTCCTGCTGGTCGTAGAGGAGGCTTGGGATCGAATCCTGCCTGCACCTGGGTTGGGGGATGGGCTACCCCCTGTTGTGTAGCCCTTCAAACGAAATAAAAAAAAAAAAAAAAAAAAAACATGGATGGGGACGATTTTGGTTCTTCATCCCGAACCCATGAAATTGTAAAAGTTTAAAAAAAAAAAAAAAAAAAAAAAACAATGCATCAATAGGGAGGCTTTGTTTTGGGCTTGTTTGTAAGACTGGCTGTCTAATTGTCTATGGGTTCTCCATTCATTCTTTGGGTGGTGACAGTTGTACTGTTATCAATGAAAGTTATCTTTTCCTATCAAAAAAATGCCTAGGGACATCTAGACGCAGATTTCCCCTTGGTTGACTAAAGGTTTCAATATCCAGGGGCCAGGGATTGATTATAGAATCTGTTACTATTTGCATTGTGCTAGAGTATATGCAAGGAGGGGGAAACCTGCATTTTTGAAGGGAAGAGATTTAGGGTTGATCTTATCGAAGGAAAGATTGGAAGGCCGCTGGTGCATTGAGTCTTGATACCTAAGAAGTTTGAGGTTCTATCCCACAACTATTTGAGGACTCAATTGGAGAACATTCTGTTTAATTCATATTTGACGTTAACATGCATACTTGTATATGAAAATCATGGCTCCAACTCATTAACCATGAACATCTTTCTGTAAAGTTGGCATTTTTTTTAAATTTTCCCTTTAATGTATAGTGATACACGCTCACCATTTATACATTTTTGTAGTGACTCCAAGTGGTGAGGTAACTAAGCAATGCTTTGTTGAGTTGAGTTGGGTTAGATCTAATAATACTTGCATTCTCTTTTTGTTAATATTATGCTTCTCTGAGTTAATACTTAATATTGCATTCTGTTATGTTATTTGGAACACTCAAGTCTTTAGCTACAGTCAATCATCTAAGAGGGTGTTCTACACCATGAATACTTTTATTTTACTAAATTTCCATGTCAGCAAAAAATTGAAACACGTCTTGAACTGTGTTTTTGTTCTGAGAAGCAAAAACAAGTTGGCTTTGTCTCAAAAATACAATTCATGTTTTTTGAAAACATAAAAATAATGCTTATTAAAACAAAAACAAATTTTGGAGTAGAGATAATATACGATTTATGAAACATGATATCGAATCACCAGATGAAGACATGTTCTTTAAACCAGATATTCAAAAGCACGTTTTTTTTTTCCAGTCTTGGAAACAAACAAAAAAAAGCGTATACAATCAGGAATATGCTTTCTGTGTTTTTGTTTTAAGAACCAATCTGTTTTTAAACCAGATAGTTTTGAGTTGTATTTGGAACACACAAAAATCGCAAAAGCGTATAATTTTTTAGACCAAGAGTCTGTACAAAGTGTTTTCTTATAAGGAATAATTTGCAGCTTATCTTTCTTTTGATGAATGACGAAATTTCTTTAATGGGAGGAGCAAATGGCGTTAAAGAAGTAAGGAACCCTAGAAGCTGTAGGCATCCAACATTCACGAAGCGCGAAGCATAATACAAAATGTTTCGATATCAGAAAAGGTAAATTCCATTAACGGGCAGAAAATAACACAAACAACAATTACATGGTCTACTGAGATATGCCAATGAGAGCTCACTCTGACTGGGTTTCCGAAGCCGCAACTGCCGCCCGACTGATGAAGTGGTGGAGGCCCGGACCCTCGGTCTTGCTGGAGAGTGCAAACTGTGACTGGGATAGGGTTCTGGATAGATTGAGAGAAACACTGCGTTTGAGTGGCCGTGAAGTGAGAGGATGTAAAAGGGAAGAGAAATGAGATTTGCGGGTGAAAAGGGAGAAGTTCAACTTAAAACAGTGGCAGCTTTGGATTTTGGTGCGGAAGACATAATGAGGTTGATTGAGGAGGGAAGAAAACGAAGACAGGGAAGAGGCCATGGGAGACGGAGGTGTTCTCCCTCTCGTTTTCTCAATGGTAGAAGGTGAGATGGATTCGGCCCTTGTGGTCTTCTTGTTTGGAGAGTGAAGTGTTGTTGAACTTGAACTGAATGTGGATAGAACCTTAGACCGGACAAACCGGATGGGATCTGGATCCGGTCGGACCAAATGCAACTCGGATCAGTTAAACTTCGGATTGCCACTTTTTTTCAACTTGTGTTGGAGATAACGTATCAATGATCAAACTTGTAATTTTCCAAAAATATTATGCGACGGGACATGAGTAAGAGTAATACATGACCTAAATGATGTGAATTTTTACGAAAATAGCTAGAAAACCATTTTATTTTTTTAATTAATAAATTTTTTTAGGGTAAATTTCTTAGTGGTTATAACTGATAGAGGTAACTTTTCACTCCTAATGTCATTCAAAGGTATGATCCTTTGAAAATATCAGCTTTAAGGCATCTTTTTTAAAAAAATATCAGATAGGGGCACTGATATATGACGTGTATTACTATTCACCGTACGGTAATGATATATACATTGAATTTATATCATACAAGACAAAATTACCCTCACCGTTAAAAACCTCCTACTCTGGACTGTTCTTAGAAATTAGAAATTAGGAAATATACTTTGCTCTGTTCATTGATGAAGGTGGTAATCGCCGGTTGCTTTCTGATGGCTTCCCGACATGGGTCTCTGCTGCAAATCGGAAGCTTCTTCAATCACCCAGTGCAGCTTTACGAGCTGGTGTTGTGGTGGCCGCAGATGGGTCTGGTCATAACAAGACCATCTCTCAGGCGGTGGCTGCTGCTCCAAGGAGACTTGTCCAGAACTGACAACAGAGGGCTCACAAACGATCAAGCAAGGGCTCGAAATAGCAAACCCAGCAGTACTGGAGATGGCGCTGGAAGCAAGCCTTGCCTGCATCAAGGAATGGGGGAGACCAGTAGGATACATCACCCACATCGTCTATGTCTCCTCCAGCGAAATCAGATTACCAGGAGGAGACCTCTACCTGGCGAGAGAGCTCGCCCTGCGCAATGACGTCGGTCACGTAATGCTATACTTTCTTGGCTGTTACGGCAGCATCACCGGCCTTCGCGTGGCCAAGGCTGATGTCACGAGCAACAAAAACTGGGCAGGTTTTTACGTCATGAGCAAGGCTAACGCCCAAAAATTCACCGTCAGGAGCTCTTGGATTGCAGCTGCCGGAGTTTATTAGCAACAAAAGGGTGAATAGGGTTTCATATGAAGAATGAAGGCTATAATAGGGTTTATTTTCAATTTTGGAGAGAGGAGTAAGATTTTTTATAGTTTTTCATTTTTTAGGAAGAAGAACAATGGGGTTTCAAAAGCTTCAGTCGATTAACAGGAAGAGAAAGGCGGAGAGATTTCTTTGGGTTTTCGATACATTTTGCAAAAAAAGAGGAAGAGGGGCAGTTTTGTCATAAAAAATGCATCAAAACCATTTCCCATACGGCGGATGCACCTCGAGCTACCTTTTGTTGCTAATAGAGAGCAAAAGTTGCTCTCTTTGTGCTAGAATTTCAATTTCTTAAATTACCATTATGGTTTAATTAATTAATTAGAAAAATAAAGGTAAAAAACTTGTACACGAGTTTGGATCCGGTGGCCACATTCACCCTGTCATACATTGGGAACATCTTTGTACTTTGAATCACTGATAGTATGGCAATCAATGTGTTGTGGTTAGCAACTCAGCATATCTAGACTAACTTAGGTCTGCAACTTGTTCGATCCAACATGAGCCCGATCAGATTCAACTCAAGTTTTTTTGCACAGGTTAGACTTAAATTTTTATGTTGTGGGGTAGGCTCAGGCTAGAAAACTCGAGCCCAACCTGAATTTGGGATGGGCTTGGGTTAAGGCCTCAGGTAGCCTAAGCTTGACCCAAGCCTATCCCAACCCAATTCAAGTTCGACTAAACCTGAGCATGCCCAAAAAAATATGTATGTATGTGTATACATGTACATTTGTAAATAAAATTTGTACATATTTTCAATTAATTATACTTTTAAATTGGATCATAAAATCTAACAAAAAGATAAATACATACAAATATATACATAAATTCTTTAACCCATCCAAGTCAAACTAACCCAACATGGTCTAACTTGGCTTAAGCATGAACCCAACCTGAGTTGTATTGAGTATAAACTCAGGTTGGGCTTAGGTTGATAAGCTTAGGCTTAGCCTTGCTGAGGTTTACACCTTTAGGGGTGGGTCTAAATGACCTTCAATCCAGCCCAACTCATAGAGTTCCACCTCTAATCATGGTTTTCAAAACCAGACCGGATTGGACGGTCATACCGAACCCCCCCCCCCCAAAATCGTTGATTTGGTTAGTAAATTGCTGACCCAGGCAGCCGAACCATTCAATAGTTTGGTCGGTTTTTATTTATTTTTTGTCAGAACGGGTTGTTCGTTCAGTTCGAATGGTTGAATTGTTCGACCCGGGACTCAAACCCCTGATCTCATTGTCCCATTCGGTTTTAAAAACCTTGCCTCTAATACAACCCTTTATTTTAATTTTTTTGGTAAAAGACTTAAACCTCCATTCCATCATTCTTATAAATTAAAATAAAAATAAATAAATTTATAATATAGAATATTTTAGACCATAAAATATGAGAAAATTTCCACTCTCCCATATTAAAAAAATTAAATTTAAAAATGTAGAATACTAATATATATATATATATATATCTATGGTCGATTCAGGTCGGTTTTGGTTGATTTACAACTAGCCAAACCAAAATTGACTTGCCTGGTCAAGTGGGAAATTATAAACCAAAGCTGATGAAAATACTAAAAAACGCAACCAACTCGTGCCAAATTGATTCTAGTTGGTCGGCTTCATCAGATTGATGAACAGTCCTACAAAAAATAACATCAGGACAAATGAGAATGTATTAGGGGCAAAGTTAAGTACCCAATTTCAAAGGGCAAATTTCTTAAACTACCTTAAGGTTTAGGAGATTGACTAAGTATACCCTTATTGTTTCATTATTGTCTTAAAGTATCCCCACTATTCCTGACAATTGCCACCACCGTTAAATCATAAGGATGTGTTTGGTTGCGGTGCAATTTTATTTGCACTAATACAAAGGTATGGGAGTGCAAATGAAAAAAATGCAAATTCTCATTTAATTTTATGAAAAAGTACAGACAGACCTAATGCAACTTTCTAAATTCCACTACAAACCTATAAACATTGAAATTGTCAAACACCCCCACTATATGTACCAATGCCCGTGAATTAGCATCAATTCCGAACTGGCACCTACCCCAATTGTACTTTAGGCCTCAAAATTATGACCCTTGGCTAAACCATCATTCTCCCTTAATTTTATTTTGGGTTTTACTTTATTCTACTTCTTGTCTTAATTTACTTCATTCATATATTGCAATCAAACAAAATAAATTAAAATTTGAAACAAAAATAGGTCAAAATTCATTCAAATCATTTGTACTGCTATAGTTTTACATCATTACAAATTTATTTGTATTGCAATCAAATACAGCCTAATGAAAAAAATAAAATAAAATGTCAAATTTGTTCTCCACTTTTTTCTCAAATTTTACCGCTACGCCCATTCTTACATCCATCATCCGCAACATCGTCGTCACTACTACGTTCCTTACATCACAGACAAGTAACACCGGGTGAGAGGAAGGGGAAGAACCCTGCAAATCTTTATAGGGTTCGGAATCAACCTGCTAAAACCAGACTTTCAACTCCTCCCGTCCGTCGATTTACAGCTGAAGAAGAAAGAGGTGCTACCGTCTTTGTTTCTTCCGTTTGCTCCCATCGGTGGGTTTTGATCTTGTTACGTAATATGAGTATTGCCTCTTAAATAGATCTGATTTATTTGAAGCTTCTCACAATAAAGAAGGTTCACACAACAAGACCTCACCAGCAACTCCAAGGGTCAGCAAATTGGGCAGGGGAGTAACTAAATCAAATGCCAACTCACCTTCTCATCTGCAAAATCCACGACTTTCAGTTTCAATTAACCGATCGCCCAGATTAGTTGACTCAAAGCCTGCAGTAGATCAGTGATCCCCAAGAATTACAGTTACTCCTGATGTAAGTTGAACAAAAAACTCTAGAATCTAAAAGCATGTAAGTTGAACAAAAAAGCTCTAGAATGTAAAAGTTGGATATCCTCAATTTTGTGTTTTTTTTTTTTTGGAATTTCTTTGGCTTCTCATTGGCATTGTCATTTGGTTTGGATTTTAGAAACAACCACGAGTGCTGAAGGGATCGAAACTACAAGTTCAATTGAATCTTGCTCAGGAAGATTTGAACAAGGCAAAAGAGAGATTAGCTACTATTGAGAAATAGAAAGATTATGCTCTTGAGGAATTGAAAGAAGCCAAGAGATGAGGCAAATGAAAAGCTTGGGGAGGCCTTACCGTAAGCGGTGGCCATGGTTTTATGCTCAAATGGAAACAATCCCAACTCTAGGATTTCGTTGCTGTAAGCGCTGGCCATGGTTTTATGCTCATTATGATTTCGTGGGTAAGCATTCGACCGGAAATTCACATCTTGAGCGGTGGTACGAGGTTCGCTCTGGGACTCACCACAACCGTGAGCGGTGGTCTTCCCGCTTTAGTTTGTGAAAGAAGGCGGAATTCGTGCTGAAGTAGGGAGTGAGAGAGGGGCCGGATTTTGGGCTTTCGAGGCTGTTAGGGGGATGGTGTGGGTGTTCAGATGCCATTCTCAGAAAACAGAGCTCAAGCCGATGGTTCCATCTCTTTGCGAGAAAGTCAAGGAAAGTGAGAGAGGGAGAGGGAGATTTAGAGAAAAGGGTATTATTGAGTTCTAAAGTTATTTGTACATCATATCATGTTACGTGTATTCAGATTTTAACGGAATATTAACGAATTTAATCGTAGGGTAGAGTTAGTTACTTTATAATATTTAAATAATAAAGGTGGTGATGATGCACAATCCGGCCGATCTTAGCTGTCAACGATCTTGCCTCTGAACTGAGTGGTAGGGACCTGAAACGGAAGGAGAAGAGAAGCTCCGGGGAGAACCCGGTGTAAGG